AGAGAAACGCAACTTGCCGTGCCGTCCGGGTCAAAGAACCCTTTTTAAACACTCGCAATTCTTCCGAAGGGGTCGTTCATAGTTATGGCAGTAGCGATTTTGTGACGGCAAAGGTAGTTCAAAGAAATTTTGTGAGGCAACACTTCAAAGAAATTAAAAGTTTCATCATCATCGTTTTAGCCATAGGAAGTCCACTGCAGAATAACTTTCAGATTGGCCGGTTGATAGTGAAGTGAAGATAAACAGAAGAGCTCGATTACTATATTGTACCTATTCATAAACATTACTATGAGATCTCAAAGTGCGCGTGGGCGCTCAGGCTAACACACGAACCAATCACAGAGCTCTATTCAGCGCTGTGCGTTCGATTTGTTCCTTCACTTAAGCAAGTACCGTCTGTGAATACGGGCGTAAGATAACAAACATAGCTTTGACTGTGGGACGCCTATTTAACACGGTCAAAGATTATCTTTTATCATGACATGCAAGTCTTGTCAGTCAAGACAATGATTTCCTCGGATACCTATTATGAGCATTGCATAAATAGAGACAGTGACTTCTTACTTAAGATAGTCTGAACTGTAAAAGTAAAAGTTCAATCAAAAACATGTTCTTGTAAAATGTTGCCAAGACGAAACCATATGGCTCGCACTGTTAAAATGCTATCAGATCTCATGTGCAGCTTTTACCATACACGATCTTTCGTAATGACCAAAATCGCTACAGCTTATCGCTCCGTTTATGGTCTGCGTGCTACCGAACATCAATGTTAAATTATTAGCTAGTATTGATCGCCTCGTAGTTTTATGCCTAGTGCTAGCTACCTGGAACTGAAAATTTATACTAATAACAGTAATAAGTAATTTAGTTGGTCTACGGGGGCCAAATAACGACTGAAAACATGACTGTCATTATTTTATTAACGAACTAAAATGCTATATAGCTATAAAAGCTACTGACTCATTCATCGCGAAATCTCAGAAACTACAAGTTTCAAATTTCAATGCTTCAGTGCTAACTACTTGGCGCCACTGTCTTCGCCACTAGTAAGCAACAGTGACCTTACTCTAGAGTGGCGCCATCTGATAAGTTCTAATACGAGAGCTCTCGTTAGCCTACGCGCAGACGCTGCACTCGGGCGATGACGGCACGCCGCAGAGGTTTTACTGGGTATACCAAGTCCTTTTCAGAACGGAGCAGCGCCCTTTTCAGGGCGCCGGGAGTCCCACACACCACCCTGTCCCTCGGCAGTGGTAAAGGTGCGCAAAGCATTTCCTCCGCGACAAAAAAAAGGCTCAAATCTATGGTTTGATTGTCTGAGCTTTAGTTAAAGACCCATTACACTGAACTGTCCAACCAAACACATTGACAGGGGGGCGCCACCATCGTTCAACTATTTAGATTCCAACGTGTCAAATTATATGTATTGACGGTGGCGCTCCCCTGTCAGTGTCACAGGTGGGACAGTTCGTTGTAGTGGAAATATACAAAAAATGCCAAGTCTTCAGTTTCTTAGGGCTTGTTTGCACGGGAACATTCCGTTTTTTGCAGAAACTGTATTTTGCAGGATCTTATTCATTAGTATACGGTTTTGATAATAACATTCACACGGATATCCCGTTTGCAGTGTCCCATAAAAAACGGATCATCATCATCATCATCATTACAGCCATAGGACGTCCACTGCTGAACATAGACCTCCCCCAATGCTTTCCATGTTGATCAATTGGTAGCGGCCTGCGTCCAGCGCTTCACTGCTTTATGATGTCGTCGGTCCACCTTGTGGGTGGACAAAAACCGATCCGTTATTCCAAGCAAACACACATTCGCACGACAGTCCAGTTTAACGGAATCTTGTATTACTGGATTGTTGTGGGAACGAGGTTTTATTTATTTGCTAATTATTTAAAAATAAAACAATTTTACAAAATAAGCTTTATTTGTCATAACAATTTGTGTCGTCTTGCGCTTCAGATGCTGTTGCGTAAACTTACAAATAAAACTATCCTTATGTAAATCATTTATATAACTTTGAAAATTATATTATTTACATTTGTTTCACAGCATATTTAAAGTACAATTTTCATTATGTACAAAATATATTGGTAACATATTAATTTATACAAATTAAGTGAAAAAGCAAAACACATTCTACGTACAGACAATAAAACTACGTACGAATAGAGAAAGGCTCACATACTAAATTTTAATCTTCAAAAGAATTAAAACAGAAAATAATTGACTATCTACATCATACCCAATTACTTTCAAAATGTAGTAGTGATTTTCTTACGTTTATAAAAAATGCTTTACTCCGGTGCAATATTAAATGAAAGTTACACAATATAACCTTTTTCAAAATTAAATAAAACCAATATTTAACTTTCACAAAATTATAACACGTATCCTCCAATAATAATATTAATTGAAATTAATTGTTGCAATTTTTAAATTTGTACTTTAAAATATTATTTGTCTATTTGTAATGAAATGCATTGCTATTTTGTTATAAGGGAAGCAAAATTACAAATACATAGTTATTTGTGATTTTGCTTCTACTTAAATTTTTGTACGATCGAATAATTAATTTATGTCTTCATGATATGATTGGTACAATTTGTTATATTTTTATTAAATTTATTTTAGCATGTTTTAATTATTTTTCTATGTGTGCAATGTACATCACACGATAAGCACTAATATCACAAAAACATGGCAGATACATTAAAATTATTGAAGGCAGTATATTATAATTTTATATTATTTAGTTGTACTTTGAAATATAAATAATATTTTTTTTATTTCATACTAAAATAGCATTTTTAAGATAAATGACAAACTTATAACGTACATAATTTCATGTAACATTTATTACACAAAATATTATTTTGAAGATAAATTTACTTAAATTATATCTATAAGTGAATATAATTCATCTACATTTTGTTTGAATCTACAACTAAAACGTTGCATAATACTTTAATTATAATTAATTTTAAGATTTTAGTACAAAAACTAAGTTGCATTTACAATAATTTTAAAAAGCGAAAAACTTTATTTCACTTTTGTTTCTCATATTTATATTTTTCTGATAAAAACTGAATTATTTACGATATCTCAAAAATTCAAACCGTTATTGAAACTGAAATTATGATTTTCACAAATAAATCCACTTAACTATTTTTGTATTTCAATAATTATTATCATTTGCCTTAATATTTTTGCACTATTCAATAGGAATTATTCTATCTAGGTATACTTATTTGCTAGTTTATACAGAACACAATATTAAAGTCACGCGTTTCCGGAAGCAAAAAAGATCAAAGAAAACTTATACAACTATAATATCCGGCATAGCTCAATTTTATAACAAAGAGACGCTCATTTTTTATGTTATCAATTTTCTCAAAACATTATTTATACAAATATCAAGCAAAAGCCCTGCAGCCCGCCAAAATCGTTTTAATACTGCTCATTTTCATATACCACCCCAAAAAATTTGCGTTTGCGTCAGAATATGTCATTGAAACAAAATATCGCTATTTTATGTGTGAAAAACCACAGTATTGGAGTCACTACTTAAGCTTCGAATAGTAAAATTCAATATTTCATTTCATTATTGCCATTAATCGTTATTGTAAAATGTACCTCAGTTTTCATAATACGCATTCGCAATATTGATGTAGCGCTTTTAACTAGCTTGCGATGAAGTAACGTGTGTGACGTCGTTGTTTATAATAGCACCGTAAAGTGACCTCGAACAAAAGTTCTTTAGTAAATTATTTTAAAGTTATGTAACGTTTAACACGACAAATTTAAGGTGGTGCTATACATGCCGCCCGTATTTCTGTAGTCACTTTACTCATAGTAGCTACGTGGCGTAGCACTGGCCGTCTACGAAAAACAAAGGCTACGCCGTAGTAGAGAAAGTTCTTCAGTGATTACGTATGTTACGAGGCTATGAAATTACGAAGTGTTTACAAGACTTATTTCTTGGTTAGAATAAATACGGCTATAGTGGACACGACGTAGTCAGTGCTACGGAACTTTAGGGTTAGTTACGCCTCAATTAGTGCTACGAACCTTAGAAGTGATCACTCGAAGTCAATGTTACGACCAAAAAAATGTAGCCACATACGTAGTAAGTGCTACAGACTTCAGATGGCTACATACGTAGTCCATGCTACAACTTTAGCAGTAGTAAGTGCTATAGACTTCAAAAATGGCTACATGTAGGCAATGCTACAGATTTTAACAGTAGCTACATACGTAGTAAGTGCTACGGATTTCAGAAATGGCTACATACGTAGTCAATGCTACAACTTTAACAGTAGCTACATACGTAGTAAGTGCTACCGATTTCAGAAATGGCTACATACGTAGGCAATGCTACAGACTTTAACAGTAGCTACATACGTAGTAAGTACTACAGGCCTCAGAAACGGCTACATACGTGGTCAATGCTATAGACTTTAACAGTAGCCACATACGTAGTAAGTGCTACAGACTTCAGAAATGGCTACGTACGTAGTCAATGCTACAACTTTAAAGTCGCTACAAACGTAGTTAGTGCTACAGACTTCAGAAATGGCTAAGTACGTAGTCAACGCTACAACTTTAAAGTAGCTAAAAACGTAGTTAGTGCTACAGACTTCAGAAATGGCTACATACGTAGTCAATGCTACAGACTTTAACAGTAGCTACAGACGTAGTTAGTGCTACAGACTTCAGAAATGGCTACATACGTAGTCAATGCTACAGACATTAACAGTAGCTACAGACGTAGTAAGTGCTACAGACTTCAGATATTTATGGCTACGTATGTAATATACGCAGGCTTTAAAAGTGGCTACGTAATAGTCAGTGTTAAGAACTTTAGCAGTAGCTACCAGTCACTCACGTCACACAAATGACGTCATCGCAAGATTAGCCAATCAGCGTCTTTAAAGCTGCGTATAGTTGCGGGGGGAGGTGCGGCGGCGGGCGGCGGAAGCGCGGCGTCAGAACACTTCGTCACTCGGATCGTCATCCAACTCGCAGAGCAGTTTGCTGCTGTAAATAGAGAAAAAACTCAATTTAAATACAAATATTTGGGCATGAAACAAAGATACTTCGTAATAAAAACAATAGCACATCAACCGTAACATGTTCAATTTAAAACTGCGCTTATTATGGACAAAGTAAAAGCGCTTTTGCGTTGCAACTGTTTCACTTGATGTGCCGTTCTCTTTAGCACTTATGTTACTTATTTATAAGAAATATCACTCAACAGATTCTGATAGTTAATATTTTTAAACTGTTGCATTAATAAGCGGCATTATCATTCAAATTAGAATTGGTGGTCTGGTTAGTTAAGAAGACCGATAGATAGAAATTTAGAGAAAAATATACCAATTGAAAAAATTAAGCTTATTTAATAAACTACACTAAGGTTTCGTACTTTGTTCAAGAAAAGTGCTTGTTCTAATGATGACTAGATAGTTCAGCAGTTGACATTTTAGAAATACATCCGTGCAGTCTAATCTAGGTCTTAATGTAGTGTTTTTGAAGACTATTTTTCTACTTTACTTTCGCAATTAAAGATCAATCAAATGAGTAAGACATAAAAATTATATTAAAGGTTAATTTCAAAAGCCAATTTGAATATTTATTTCTGTTTCAATATTGTGGGTTATAGCATCTACATCTACTATTAATTTAGAATATTTTTAAGCGTTGAAGCCAATTTAAAATTTAGATAAAATTGTGTATAAAGTGGTTAATTGCGAACATAAAGTAGAAAAGGAAATTATAGTTTGACTGACGGATACAGTGATGTTACTGAAGTTTTTTGAGTCAAAAGATTGAGTACTTCACTCTTTACAGTGCATCAACATGAAACGTACTTGTGAAGTAAATTATTCCAACAATAATAATATCCACTACGATGTTCCATCGCCAAACTTGAAATCGCTATCGGACCTGAAAGTCCAGTATTTAGAATCATCAATAAACTAAAAAGTTCTCCTTTCGCAAGCACTGACACCGATATAACTCCCAAAAAATTAAAACTGCATTGAGATGAAGAGGAAGATTTTCAGTCATCAGTGCTCGTGAAGGCTGTCAAAAACAATCACTACAGAAATTAAAAGGTAAAAAGATACTTACTCCTCTTTACTCGCATACGATTCGGCGTGAACTCGCCTATTGCATGCTCTGTCGCAGCAGCGGCAGTGCCAATAAGCGAGCACACTTAGACTGAACACGAAAACAGTCGTGGGTAGCACCAGGGCCAATATCAAGCCCCTGACAGTAGACTCCCATGAATACCTCGCGACCACCAGATCTGGCCTCGTCAGGCTATAGTAACATGGAAATATCTTCGGGGCTTTAGGCCCTGCATACTCGCTTGCGAATATAGAACAGTTCACTCTCGGTGGATATCCGCAACCCTCAGGGTTGATTAGGAATTTCAAGTCAGTTTCGTCCCATTCCTTTGGTACTTTTGCGCCTTCCTCATAAGGTCTTCTTGCTAGATTGACGCGGATCTTGTGGCATTTTGTGTGGGCAGTTGTGCAGCCCTCCCGACATGATGCCCATGTGCAGTTGGTTAAAGTATTCGCTTGGACGTGTTCGGATACCGCACAGATACCAGCTTCTGGGACGAATTCTGCTAGAATGGTTTGGATCGCGGGCTCCACGACAAAGGGTATTAAGAATAGGAAGGCGAAGACTGCGAGTATAGCTGACGTGCCGAGGCAAAGTGACGTGTAGAACTTGAATCGCTCGAAAAAGTGCGTTAGCAACTGCTCTCTGGTCGGTTCTAGTGGCTTGAACTCCGGGCTGCCTGGTTCGGCTGAAGCTCCCATGGGGAGCGTGGATCTCTCGGAGGCGGCTGGGGAGAGGCTCCCCCGGGATCTGCTCATCGAAGACATGAGGAGTTCAGCCAGTAGAAAGCATTGCAAGCGGTTAGTCGTCTCTTAGTGAACCAGCCGGACCCTCGCAGAGGAGGGGAACGCCTGGAATGAGAAATAGTAAACGGCATTACCAATAAAGTTGGTCACATAAAACTTAATACAGCTTGTTTGCGTGACAACAGCTCATTTAAATACCCCCTATGACGTCATCTTACTGACGCTTGCTTTCTTATTATTTTTACTTACATACCCATAAAGAAATGGTTTAGGTACAGTTCACAACATGTATATTATAGGTTTTTAAATTTTAAAATTATGATTGTGTATTTGTAAATAAAAAGTAACATGTAACATGCAATTGTTTCTACATTTGTGCATTATGTCATCAGTTAAAAATAGCCAAGTCAATAATCCATTTGACAACCTACTCGTAAAATTATGACTTTATCAAATTGGCTAATCACCTAGAGACAATCATGTAATCAAATTCAATTACTACAAACTACTGTAATCACTCCACTTACTCTGTTAATAGGGTATGCATTAGTAACTAGGTTAAATTGAATCCGAAGTAGAGTTCCTTTCCTGTGTAGGAGAGGCCTTAAAATAAAATATTCAATGTACGCAAACTCCTTCCAGTCACGACATATTTATATCAAGGACAAATATATTAACTGGCTTGAACTGAAATACCACTATTTGGATTTCAAATCAGGGTAATAATTACCTGTATTTTGTTTGTATTTTTAATATATTTTATGGGCAATAAATTATTGTTTGTTTGAAAAAAATTCTTACGTGACTGATCTCAGAGTGGAGAAACAGGATCATTTGGAGATAGCTGCATTTCAGCTTGACCGCTGGTGCAGCCCTTGAAACGCATCTTTGCGTCATCACCTACTTCTACAGTCTTTTGACACAACATCAAAGTTATACACGACACAACCACCAACACTGTGGGTAGTACTAGAGCTACCAGAAACTGGCGATACGTTGTTTCCAGATCAAATCTGGCTACAACAGTATCTGGACTGTTTTCCATGTAGAAGCAAGGGAATCTTGCTTTGGCATTATGGTCAGTGCCATCTCGCCCGTAATCTTTGAGGAACTCTTTGCATTCATCAGCTAGAGTATTGACGCAGCCTTCCAGATTGATCATCAAGCGGCTGTCATTGGCCAATGTCAATTCTACTTCTGATGGAGCGATCATTCGATTCGGTGCTGCTCGTACGGTATACAAATACTGTAGGTACGTGAAATTGGTCAAATCTGTCAGCTCAGTTCTAGGCAACAAAGCAGCGTTTATGCAATCAACAGCCACAACACCCGACGTGCCATTATGCACAGCGTGACAGGACAGCATTAGCACTTCTTCACCAGAATCGTTCCACACTATCACACCGCCTTCTTCTTGGCCAGTTTTGCACATTTTGCGAGAAAAACCCTGTCCCCACTTAGCACTATGACGTTTTTGTTGCGGGTCGGGATGTCGACGCAGCGGCGATCGCAGTTGTACGGCGTTCGTATTTTTCTACAAGTTCCTCTGTTACACGAAAACAATCCATGAACGTCTATACAAGTTATCTTCCCTCTTCTCCCAGAACATTTCAAGGGCGGATCTGTTTCTCTGAATGCGCATTCAAAAGCGTCTGTTATGTTGATGCACTTTCCTTCTGTACAGTTGAACGTTCCTGTCAAATTTTTGCATTCATCTCGAATGCAGTGATACTTCCTGGCGTTTTCTTGGTCGATGCCGTAGCAGGTTTTGTTGGCTGCACTGCCGCATTCTGACAGGAGTAAAGACGTGCCGTTCTTTCTGACGTTGACGTAGATTTGAATGCAGGCTCCCGATGTCTTGCTGAGGCACCATTCTCCACACGATCCCCAGTCGCAGTTGTCTTTGTTGACGGCCCTTGTTGTGGTGCACATGATCGGTGTGGGGTCAATCCCGGAAGCGATGGCTCGCGTATAGGGCATGTAAATAGCGACTGTGAGGTAGACGATAGCGACAGCGCTGAGCACTGCTGTCATTTGGCAGACGCATATTGTCCCGCATATCTTTTGGTCTTGTGGTGGTATTATAAGGTCCTCCACTGGCGTCGGTTTCGGCATGTTGAGTACCCTCGGCACCCCGGTCGCGTAGCCACTGGCTCGAGGGTAGCGGCGTGCGCCTGCGTGGCGCTGCAATCGATACGGCGCAGTGCGGGCAACCCCGCTTGTGCTATTTTTTTAATACACCCCGATGTCAACGTCCTGACGTCGAACAATAATAACGGACCGTATGGAATGACATTAGAAATTAATTGTATGAGTTTGTTTAAACGATAATGCAGTTGACAATATTAATCACTTTAGACACTAGAATAATTTTAAATTCTTGCTTTAACTGATATAAACACGACCTTTGTCTTGTGAAACAAGCGATAAATAATTCGGATACTAATGCAGTATACACAAAAAATATCTCAGTGTATGTAATTGATAAGAAACTTTGAGCTGGACGAGAACTATAAATTACACCTACTGTACAGTCAACATTAACGTCAAATCATATTTGCATACAACAATGATAATAATAAAGAAATTACCTTAAAAGAAAAGAAAATCTATTTCGTTCAGGCATTTTAGACTAATTAACTACCTACCTTTATTTATATTTTTAAATATCATAAGACATTTTTCAATGAGCTCACGTATTGATGATAAAATCATAAAGCTACTTGTTTTAATTTCTTTAATTATGAGTTTTGTTCAAAGGTCTATCATTATGTAGTTATAATAAACAATATAAAGGACAATGCAACCGATTATTTCATACAAATAAAATTTTGACATGCCAAAACACACAAGTAAGAAAAATCAGTATTTTCCCTATCTTCGCAAAAAATACGTTTATGAAAATACCTACCTATTCTAGATACGATGCAATTAGACCATACATTTTAATTTATGCCGTACAGTGACGTATAAGGACTAGTGACTTACCGAAACAGATGTTTGTGTAACTTCTCAATTCTCACAATTATTAATAATCCAATCCTCAATAATAAAACCAATGTATATTCCGTGAACTGTACCAAATTTTTGGTCCAATATTTGGTGTATTTTCACAGTTTTTGTTGATTTATCTGTCGTGTATGCGTTTTGTGGGTTTTGGACAACTATTCTGAAGTTGGCAACGATTGGGCATGCGCAATGCGGACTTGTGCAGACGAAAGTCCATCAAACTGTACTTGTTTTTGTTTTAAAATCGCCTTTATTACAACTGCATAAGATAACAAGGTGTCAAGCTTGATATGCAGTTGTCTGTGCCACTGTGAAGTTGTCTTGGATGGGTTTAGTTTACCGCAACATTATGGACAAACTATAAATCTTACAGAACGCCTAAGTATTTCTCATTAGAGGGAAAGAGAGGGTTATTGCGGCAATTTGAAATTATTAGGGTTTATGGACTCCCCCGAGCAAAAAATTGATTGTCATGAAGCTTCCTTATGAACTTATTTTAACTATTTAAGACTATGTTATACAGTCCGGTAACAAGTTGATAAAATTAAATGTTCTTTATTTAAATACTATTAATTTACATCAACTGAAGAAAGCATGAGGCAGTCACAACTTGAAAGTTCTTAGCACCTGAAAGTTTTCTGACAATGGCACATCAAACTCAACATTGTGCTACGTATTAAGCAGATACTATAAGTGCTGCTTATTTTGCAACATTGCACAAAAATGTGTTGTGGACTGTACCATTATTTTTTTACATTGTGTTTTTGTAAAACGCAATTTATTATTTTAAACTTTGCACATTGATAAGAAGACCGCTACTTTACGCAAAATATGTTTTATTTTTAATAACGACAGCGTGCGCTGGGCAAGTTAAAACTTTTTTCGTGGAAAAGTACAATTTTGATTTATGACAGTCTTCAATGCGATTAAATTACTAATTTCAATTAACAGATAATTTCTACTTTAAAATATCAAAACTGCTTACCTTCAAGTCTCCTCGGTCTTCCGTCCATTTTACTTCACATTTCTTCTGCTCTTTCAAGTTTGCTCACTTTGTTTATGTTTACATTAACACGTTCGACTACGTTCAGTGCAGAGTCGTTTAAACGGTGCCAGGTTAACCCCGTGACAGCGCATGCGCGGTTTGGTGCCAGTTTATGTCATATTTACTATGTTTGCAGCGTTTTCATCGACGTTTGCAGATGTATTGCAGTGGTTTATGAATGTTTGCAAAAGATACTAAAACGAATGAAAAAGCCACCACTTAATAATAAATAAATAATCACATGAGAATCTTTGGACTCTCCGCAATGGCAGAGTCGTATACGGCTTTGATTTCCAAATAAACTGTTTTTTTTTTAAATCGCACTATTAAATTAATAACCATATTGTCTCATTTATGCAGAATTTGTAATATAATCATCAGGTAATATAATTATTAATATCAATAAATATACTCTAAAATCTCCATTTTCTTGTTGTAATTAAGGTACATAATACGGTTAATTAAGTAAGTTCAGTACGGCAAACGTAGGTACATAATACCCATTTTTTTACTTTCGNAAATTCTTGCTTTAACTGATATAAACACGACCTTTGTCGTGCGAAACAAGCGATAAATAATTCGGATAGTAATGCAGTATACATAAAATTTATCTCAGTGATTGATAACAAAATTTGAGCTGGACGAGATATAGTGCCTCTATACTGTACAGTCAACATTAACATCAAGTCATATTTGCTTATAACAATGATTTATAATAAAGAAAATATAGGCTAATCACAACCTTTACCTAACCCTATAACAAAAGAAAATCTGTATCGTTCAAGCATTTTAGACTAGATTTTATTCCTATAATTTATATTTTAATGTCAAAATTTTTTTCAAGGAGTTTAGTAAGCCAGTTATTTTTACTTTTTATTATGTATTATATGCATGTCTATCATTATGTTATAATAAACAATAGTAAAAAAAGGACATTGCAACCGATTATTTCATATAAATAAAATTTTGACATGCCAAAACACACAAGTTAAAAAATTCAGTATTTTCCCTATCTCCGCAAAAAATACGTTTATGAAAATACCTACCTATTCTAGATACGATGCAAATAGACCATACATTTTAATTTATGCCGTACAGTGACGTATAAGGACTAGTGACTTACCGAAACAGATGTTTGTGTAACTTCCCAATTCTCACAATTATTAATAATCCAATCCTCAATAATAAAACCAATGTATATTCCGTGAACTGTACCAAATTTTTGGTCCAATATTTGGTGTATTTTCACAGTTTTTGTTGATTTATCTGTCGTGTATGCGTTTTGTGGGTTTTGGACAACTATTCTGAAGTTGGCAACGATTGGGCATGCGCAATGCGGACTTGTGCAGACGAAAGTCCATCAAACTGTACTTGTTTTTGTTTTAAAATCGCCTTTATTACAACTGCATAAGATAACAAGGTGTCAAGCTTGATATGCAGTGGTCTGTGCCACTGTGAAGTTGTCTTGTATGGGTTTAGTTTACCGCAACATTATGGATAAACTATAAATCTTACAGAACGCCTAAGTATTTCTTATTAGAGGGAAACAGAGAGTTATTGCGGCAATTTGAAATTATTAGGGTTTATGGACTCTCCCGAGCAAAAAAATATTGTCATGAAGCTTATTTAAACAAACTTATCTTTAACTTGTATTTACGAGTACCTATTACATTATTGTCCGGTAACAAGTTACTTATTTAAACTTGATAATTATTATCTAATTAAGTAGTCACTATTTATTTACATCAACTGAAGAAAATATGAGGCAATTTGATAATTCTTAGCACCTGATAGTTTTCTGATAGTGGCAAATGAAACTCAACATTGTGCTACCATAATTTGCAAATAATAACTGCTATTTTGCAACCATATTATGTTATGGACTGTACCATTATTTCATTACATAATTAATTATGTTTTTGTAAAACGCAATTTCTTATTTTACATTTTGTACGTTGATAAGAAGACCGTCTCTATACGTTTTTTTTTTATAATCGACATCATTCGCTGGACTAAAGATAAAACGTTTTTCGTGGAAAAGTACAATTTTGATTTATGACAGTCTTCGATGCGATTAAATTACTAATTTAAATTAACAGAATAATTTCTACTTTAAAATATCAAAACTGCTTACCTTTAAGTCTCCTCGGTCTTCCATCCATTTTACTTCACATTTCTTCTGCTCTTTCAAGTTTGCTCACTTTGTTTATGTTTACATTAACACGTTCGACTACGTTCAGTGCAGAGTCGTTTAAACGGTGCCAGGTTAACCCCGTGACAGCGCATGCGCGGTTTGGTGCCAGTTTATGTCATATTTACTGTGTTTGCAGCGTTTTCATCGACGTTTGCAGATGTATTGCAGTGGTTTATGAATTATTGTAAAGAAATAAAACGAATGAAAAAATGGTAAACATTTGAGAATATCATGAGATATTCTGGACCCTCCGCAATGGCAGAGTCGTATACCTACAGCTTTGATTTACAAATTAAATTTAATTAAAAAATTTATAAAGATATTTTTTTAAATCACACTATTAATAAACAGTGGGTATTTATGCAGAATTTGTAATATAATCATCAGGTAACATATTAGTATCAATAAATATACGCTAAATCTCTCCATGTTCTTGTTGTAATATTGGTACATAATACGGTTAATTAAGTAAGTAAGTTATGTACGGCAAACGTAGGTAGGTACATAATACCCATTTTTTATACTTTCGAACATAATATTATTAAAAAACTAACATAAAAATAGTCAAAAGGAGTAAAAACTACACCAAAAAGTATCATAAAAAGGGTTCACTCGTGGGTAGTGACAGATGACTGTTCCAACATCACCCCTTTTGCCCAGCAACATCGGCCCACGCGCATCCAATCGTTCCTAAAGTAGCATCTTCCTTGCATCTTTATAGCTTGATCAATCGTGATGAGGCGCACGGCACCGGAACGCCAAGGTCGGGAACTGGTTTGAAGGGACACAAACTAGAGTTTATTGAGAGGGATTTANAGAGATGAAATGTAGTGAATTCAATTACGTGGGAAGATTGGCTCATACGTATGAGAGGATGTCCGTGAATTAATACTTTATGCTCATAAATAGGGATGTTTCCTAGGTAAAAAGGCAAGATTTTGAATTAGTCTGTCAGTTATCAAAAAAACTCGACACGTATTTTTCACTTTTTCAAACTTATGAAAATCGAAAGAGATAAAGCGCTCCCAATTTCAAAAGAAGAGGCCCGTGACGTCAAGGTAGCCTAAAAGTGTAGCACTTTGTGACGTCACGCGAAACTTTAACGCCCCATAACTTCGTAATTGCTTGTTTGATTGACAAATTAAAATATTCAAAGTGTCCAAGATTTTTGATGATTTATTCCTTCCTTGCATCTTTATCACTTGATCAATCGTGATGAGGCGCACGGCACCGGAGCGCCAAGGTCGGAAACTGGTTTGNAGCTGATGGATTTAATGTAGTGAATTCAATTACGTGGGAAGTAATTATGTTGTAGGTACGTCACTCTTTGTACAGTGTAATTCTTGTGTAGGTATTGCATGAGTCATTGAGCAGCAAATCTAGATCAGATCTTTCCATTTTTCTTTATAGTAAAGTACCTATTTACGTCGACCATTTTATTTCCTATATTTCTCTCTATCTAACATCTCTGAATAAATTACGTCAGTTAAAGATTTTGGTATTTATTGTCTTGCTCAAACTTACATTGTTTTGGTGAGAAAGACGAAAAGTAAATAAGATCGTCACATGAAGATTTGTAAACACAGATCAGAAAAGTAAGTCTAAAAATAACTTAAAAATCGTTATTGTCTATCAATATAAAAACATTTTGTATCAGTATTTTTACGTGTGTAATTATTAATTTGGAGTGTCTTACCCCATTAGTGTAAAAGGTCAAAGAGTACACACAATTATAAATACATAGCAGGCAAACTTGGCCATTTTTTTCATAAACTGCTGTATCTTTCCATTGAATTGGTAGGTATATACATATAAAAATCGCAGAGGCCGTCCGGGTCAACGGACAACAATAAATCAATGATCGGAGCTGCCCGCTCATTGTGCGCTGCAATTTAGCTATTAGACTTGCGCGCGCGCACACGGGGGCTTATTTTAAACCGACTTTTAAAAAAGGAGGTTTTCGTGCACTACTTATTTTTAACAAGATCGTGTTTAAATTTACTAATTAGACATGCGCCCGCGCACAAGGGGTCAGATTGTTAACCGACTTCAAAAAAGGAGGATGTCATAATATCCTCCTTTTTGGAAGGCAGTTTTTTAAAAAGATCGTTACATAAATTAGTATGTCAACATAATGCCCTTAAGGTGGACAAACGACCTATAGGTTAGGTAAAGGTTGCAGAAAGGCACTGGATGAAGGCATTGGACTTATATTCACGTTTGGGAACATAGAGTTATGTTTAGTAAGATACTAAAATTTTTAAGTAAGGTACTCGGTGAAAACTTGGCTATTTTTGACAACTACCTTTATGACGAAATACCTTTAAGTTTTATTTGACCTTGGTACTTCCCATCATGACCTATTCAATAAGATAACATGTTTGTGAAAAAATAAACACATGCAAATTCAAACAGCTTACGAGTACACACAATTTTTTAATGTTTGTTCACTTATGATTTTTGTATGTTTACTTATGAATGCAAAATAACCCATCTCCAGTTTTACTGCCCTAATAAAATAGCAAAACTAGATACCCACTTACTTATTAATACTCAATAAACGAGTCCAGGACTGGGACTGGTTTCGCATCATTAATAATAAAAATACAATTACAACAATTATAGTAAATATCGAGTAGTGTGCGCCGAAGACATCAGTTGAGATGTGACACAGGCTAATCCCAGATCATTCCAGACCGGCCTGTATTGGGCAGGGGTGCGCAACATTTTGTGTTCAGATAATAATATTCCATACAGAACTTTATTTAAGGTCTTAACTATTCATCATATCATCATTGACTTATTTACGCCGGTATTTACAAATGATGATTTTTGAATAGAGCTCTGTGATTGGTTCATGTGTCAGGCGCAATGTGAGACCTCATAGTTTGTGTAACGCCCGTAGCGTTTACCAGAGGCAAGTGGAAGATTTGGTCTGAACTCCTCGTGCTGGTCAAATGGATTTAGAGTAAAATAATCTACATCACATACTCGTACAATTTTTCTAGTAGCCAACCAGTTCCTATGGATTAGTTAGGAAATTGAATGAACGCTTAAGAATAAAAGTGGAATTTTGTGTAGCCATTTCTTAGCCATGACCATAACGTTACCTACTTCTCGCCTCGTCACACGCGAGATATTCAAGGTCTCAAAAATATTGTTTTCTACTATAACGTAATCTTATGAGTAGTATAAAACATGTACCTATATCTCTTAGAAAAATATTGATTCAACAACTTACTACATCCCCTTTTTCGTCTGATTAATTTCGTTGCGGGTCCAATGACAGTTTAACTTTCCCCCGGGACAAATTTAATCTTCTCTGATTGGGTTTTTATTGGCGGTCAAGCTGTAGATCCTAGCTACACAGGAGTTGCAGCGGTGGGAAAGAGAGGTGGAAATAGTCCCGTTACTACTTTTTGTTCGTCTGCAAAACTTCAAGATACAGTCTGTCTTTAAACAAAAAATCTATACTTATAATAAATCTGTAGAGAGGTCAATTCTGTACATGAAATATATTTTCAAAATAACTATCAGGGGGTGATTAGTGATCGATACTGACGCCAAAAATGCAATCAGTAAAATTTTTGTCTGTCTGTCTGTCTATCTGTCTGTCTGTCTGTCTGTCCGTCTGTATGTTCCTTATAGAAACAAAAACTACTAGACGGATTTTAACGAAACTTGGTGCAATTATTCTTCATACTCCTGGGCAGGTTATAGTATACTTAGGAATTCCCACGGGAACAGGAATTAGCGGGAAAATCCTTTTGTATGAAAAATCTAAACCGCTTAAGTTAGACGCTTGAAATTTGGCTTGTAGGTAGCTTAGTAAACTTAGAGCTTAGATACAACAAGGGATTCCCGAAATTTCCACGGGAACGGAAATTCGCGGGAAAATCCTTTTGTATGAAAAATCTAAACCGCTTAAGTTAGACGCTTGAAATTTGGCATGCAGGTACCTAAGTAAACTTAAAGCTTAGTTACAACAGGATATTGCAAAATTCCCACGGGAACGGGAGTTAGCGGGAAAAAACATTTGTATGAAAAAATCTAAACCGCGTAAGATAGATGAAGGGGGTAAAACGGGATCCACGCGGACGAAGTCGCGGGCGGCCGCTAGTCTTTAATATAGGTCAAATTGTCTAGACATCCAATTATTTATGAAAAGGTCACAGACAGAGCTCGTATAAATAATTAATATGAATATCGCTCAAGGAAATATGAATATTACCGTGAAGTTATAATAACAATAGTTTTATGCTAAATTATACTAATTAGTAATTATTCAAAAATGTAACTCTAAATACCGTATTATGATTTAACTACACATAAGAATATTCATAATAATTATAGTATGTTGGCTCTTTTCAGGGCGCATACACGTCACAAATATCTTGCTCTACCACTTTGAGACAATAATATATCGGCTAGTACCGACAATAAGTGCGTTTTATCTTTTTTTAAATAAAAATTAACCCAAAAAATATTCCATTTTAATTTTGAATAAACAATTCACCACCCCTGAACGTCCTGCGTAAACGGATCGACTCCTGCGCACGCCCCGGGCTATATAAAGCTGCGTCTGCCCACGGGTACGCATCATTCCACCATGAAGACCTTAGTCGTGCTCGCCGTCTGCTTCGTTGTGGCCCAGGTGAGTTTTATCACTATCAATATAGCCATCTGTTCTGCCCTTTAGATACTATGGCGTTGGTCTTTTTGTTCGCTATAAAGTTACTCGTAAAAATCATTGGTGTTTATCAAGATCGGATAAGGGATAGGTCTTCCCTTTACAGCCTTTTGGGTTAGTCTTTATGTTTGCAATAAAGTTATAAATAAAAATAAATATGCTGAGCATCGGTTCTGTGGGCATTTAAACAGGTTCATTGCAAAGAATATTCACATTAATCGTAGCCCTTGCCAAGTGTTTTGTTTGTATTTTAATTTGCTATAATACTCGTACCTAGAATTTAAATTCTTGAACCTTAGAACTCACTGAAAAGCAATTAACCCTAGAGTGGGCTCGTNGAGCTCGTCTTTTTTCGTAACGCCAGTGGGCGCGTGGGGAGCATTTTGCCGCTCCTTTGTACAGTGATTATGTTTCGGCAATATAGACTTGACATAGGTGTGTGCAATGTTCATATTATGTTCAGCATATGTGTTATGGACTAGACGTCCTATGGCTGAAATGATAATAATGATGAAGTAAATAAAATCTTAAATAATGTCATAAAATCTATTATTTTTTTTATTTTTCAATTTAACACGTGATACTTTTAAATTCTTTAATTCAAATATTTTTTTAGCCTTTACAACAAATAAAAAATAAATACACTACAAAGTAAGGTCTAATTTATGAGACAAATTTTTACTTACATGAGTGGGCGTACGGTGAGAAAATTGCCGCGTGGCGTAACCTGACGGTAAGAATCTCATCCTCAAGAGGCCATTCATGCACTGATTGTTGATGCAATTGTTTAATGATAAATGTAAATGTTATTTTTTAAGTTTTTGCAACGCCTTCACTGGGCGTCACATATTATTATACAAAATTATGTTCTACCAACCCTTACCTATGTGACATACAATAAATAATTTGAATTTGATGGCGTTAAGCTTTTCAGAATGAGTTGGGAACGAACGCAGGGGCAGCTACTAAAAGCTCACACTTAGAGGGCAATTTATTGCTTTACGAATTATTAACACTTTTTTTGCAAAGGGCGGCAAAATGCTCATAGCGCGCCCACTCTAGGGCTAACTATCAGCCAATCTACTTTTATAAAATAAAGTAGTTAATTACAGAACTAACACAAATTTACTTTTGCTAGCTCCTGTAGAGTCCGGACCTCATTTTAACCTAAACTTGAAATAAAATAATTTGAATTGAAATGTAACTTGACATTATTATTTTGTTCAGTCCTTCACCGATGAGCAAAAGGAGAAGTTGAAGAAGCACAAGTCAGAATGCCTATCGGAGACGAAGGTGGAAGAAGCGTTGGTGAACAAGGTGAAGACTGGTGATTACAAGGTACGAAAATATTACAGACGCACACATTTTCTGTAACTGTAAGTCTAGGCGCTGTGGTCTAGTGGTAAGACCACCTGCTTCAGACGCAGAGGTCCCGGGTTCGATTCCCAGTGGGGGCAGATTTTTCTGTTCGGTTTGGTTGGTGGTAGGGCTTGTTCTAAGTCCGCCTGGCTAGCTACCACCATCTTACCTAAGTCTGTCGCCATAACAACAATGTTAACATTACTGTGTTCCGGCAGTTAGAGGTAAGATAGCCAGTTCCTCCGTGGTTGAGGATTCCGGGTGAAGCTCGCTTCCACCTTCGGCCTGATCGTCACTTACCATTAGGTGAGATACAGGATACAGGCCAAGAGCTTCCTCGTTGTGCATAAAAAAAGACCATCAATTTTTTGTTGGTCGATAGTTGGGCCCGATTTTTATTTGTATGAAGAATCGTCCAAATCAAATAGGTGTTATGTGTGCACTTCCATACATGCCCATACTGATCAACTGCTCGACTAAACTATGGGCCGACGAAAAATCGATGGTCTGCGCATAGGCTAAAAACCTGTTTCTATAATATTAGTCATTGTTTGCGTATGATATAGGTACTGCTTTAATTCCTTCTATAACGATAGAAATTGAAACGTAAGAAAATACATTTAGGTAAGTAACTATTTACTGTCGGTTGGATGCTGGCCACTGCCAATCGACCAATTTGGACAATAGGGGGAGGCCTGTGGCTGATATGATGATGATGACCTCTTATTGTTGCAGACCGAAAATGATGCCCTGAAGAAGTACGCCCTCTGCATGATGATCAAGTCGGAGCTGATGACCAAGGAGGGCAAGTTCAAGAAGGACGTCGCCCTGGCTAAAGTTCCCAACCCAGGTATGTATTTATCTATTACTGTAAGGTAACGTTAGCCCAAACGTTGGTCCAACAGTGTGGACTTAAAAATAGCTTGTTCCAACGCTAGTGCCAATACTTTTTTCTGGGTTCATACGTTGGACGTGTGGCGTTTGGTAAATAGCTTATACAGACAAGAATATCAAGCTGATGAGAATAAGAATGGCATCTAATACGGTTGTAATAGATGTTATTTTGCGACAAATATTTGGTCTGAAAATTTGCTAAACAAGCTGCAAGCAGTGACAGTAGCATCTTTAAGTAGGTACCTATAGTTGTATAGGTGATATTTTGAAACAAGAGTCTGATGTACTGACATAGATTTACACAAATATAGACTGTAATAAAACAGGTTCTGATGGTGTTAGTGAACTTACAAAAGGTATCGCTTCGATTCTACCTGATGCACCATATCGACTTAATAGTTATAACGCAATTTGACTACCCTGCATTTGTCCACTCCATTTGTATACGATCAGACACCAGAACTTGAATAAGAGCATAATGTTTCAACTCCGTGTCTTAGTGGCATACGGCTCAATATTTTTGAACATACTTTTATTAAGAACGACATATTGTGGTAAACTGATATGCTGTAGACGGTACATGGAATCGATTTAAGCTCGAATTATAATTGGCCTTTGTTTTTCGGGCTTGTAATCGATGCAAAGCACAATCGCCATTTTTATCCTGTTAGATAAAAAATCTAACAGTTGAATGTTGCAGACATGATCTTTTTTTTCACTTCGTTATCAAGGAAAAAACAAGCAAAATAGGTATTTTAAAGTAATTTATTATCATCCCAAAAATTTTTGGTAACACTTATTGGAACTCATATTGTTTTGCAACTGGTATCTTAAGTCATTGACTGCCAAGACACTAGACACATTGTTCGAGGTTCACCTAGTAAGGCTCACGGCGTCCTACGTATTAACTAAGAGAAACATTGAAAAATTAAATTTAATATATTATTGAATGTACAAAATTGTCCACAGCTGATAAGCCAGCGGTAGAGAAGGTGATCGACGCCTGTCTAGCCAACAAAGGGAACACCCCCCACCAGACAGCCTGGAACTACGTCAAGTGCTACTACGAAAAGGACCCCAAACACGCCATTTTGACCCAATAAGAGCTCCAAATAGAGTATCTTTTTGCTCAAGCTGCCTTCAAGATTGGTGATCCATGGCCAATGTCATTTGTTCCTATACTAGTCAGTTGATAGTGACATCAACAGTGACCTACGAATCGGTCAAGTCAGTTATGACCCCAAACTGACACTTAGCTTGAGCAATTGAGATAACCTGTTTATTGAAAGGCAAATACTTTGGTTCATCATCATTGGCTTTAGTTATCGAAGTATCAACATCATCTAAAAACATCAATTTGTAACCTTTATTTTCAAAAACCATGTCATAATAGTTACATGTTCTATTACTACTAAATTCATCCAAGTGAAATTAAATACAGGGAACAATTTGGTTGTAAAATCTTTATCAATACGGTGACTGCCCAAGCGAATTTATTAATTAGAGAAATAAACAGTGGAATTATAGTTTTGGTTTTTATTTCCCCATTTATGACAAAATTAAGAAGAAGAAGAATATTGGTTTTTATTTCCCCATTTATAGCAAAAGACCGAGTTTTGATAAAATTATTATTAAATGAAGATACTTAGTTAAAAAAAACATGATCTATCCAGAATCTAATCTGGGGCGATATACGTCACATCGACAATTTGAAGTCACTATTAGGCCATACACATTAAGCCTTGGCGTAGACCACCAACTTTTAGTTGGCCGATAGTTGGGTCGGGCTGTTAATCAGTATGGAGAATAGAGATGTATGAAAGTGTGCACACTATAAATACCGATTTTATCGGCCAATTCTTCATATAAATTAGAATCGGGCCCAACTATCGGTTAACTAAAAATCCTTGGTCTGCGCCTAGTCTAAATACTGGATTGCTTCTACTCGTAGAACTTACGTAGCTAGAATGCAGCGGAAACAACAAGTTAAACTCGTTTATCTCATTGAGAACAAAAGAACATAAATTNACCTTAATGAAAAAGGGCTACTATAAAGTTGATGATTATTAAAAGATAAAAATGTTTGGAATGTTTAACTACCTAGCTCGCATCAATACTTTGTATAGACTATAATTTGTATATTTTTAAGACTGTAAAACCTTGAAAAGGAGGCTGACAATAGTGTCTGAGTTTCTTGCGCTGGACGTGCGACGTGTAAAAGCGCTTATTTAAAGCCTATTTGCAAAAATAAATGAATTTTATGAATTTAATTTAAGAGAGACACATGAAGATTTGTAAACACAGATCAGAAAGATGTACTTAAGTCTAGATAACTTAAAAATCGGTATAGTCTATTGATATAATTTACGAGTACCTACATTTAAGCAAGTAATTATTAGTTTGGAGTGTCTTAGCCCGCCATCGTAAAAAAATTATTAAAGTCGTTACAAGTGAAAAAGTGCACACTATTATAAAATTAAATAACCTACATAATCATGAAAACTTAGCCATTTTTTTCATAAACTGCTGTATCTTTCCATTGAATTGGTAGGTATAATATAAAAATCGCAGAGGCCGTACGGGTCAACGGACAACAATAAATCAATGATCGGAGCTGCCCGCTCATTGTGCGCTGCAATTTAGCTATTAGACCTGCGCCCGCGCACACGGGGGCTTATTTTTAGCCGACTCCAAAAAAATGAGGTTTTCGTCCACTACTTATTTTTCAACAAGATCGTGTTTAAATTTACTAATTAGACATGCGCCCGCGCACACGGGGTCAGATTGTTAACCGACTTCAAAAAAGGAGGATGTCATATCCTCCTTTTTGGAAGGCAGTTTTTTAAAAAGATCGTTACATAAATTAGTATGTCAACATAATGCCCTTAAGGTGGACAAACGACCTATAGGTTAGGTAAAGGTTGCAGGAAGGCACTGGATGAAGCCATTGGACTTATATTCACGTTTGGGAATATAAAATTAGGTTTAGTAAGATACTAAAATTTGTAAGTAGGCATTCGGTGAAAACATGGCTATTTTTGACGACTACCTTTACGACGAAATACCTCTAAGTTTTATTTGACCTAGGTACTTCCCATCTTACGACCTATTCAATATGATATATTCGTGAAAAAATAAACACATGCAAATACAGACAGCTTACAAACAATTTTTTAATGTTTTCATTTACTTATGAATGCAAAACAACCCATCTCCAGTTTTACTGCCCTAATAAAATAGCAAAACTAGATACCCACTATTAATACTCAATAAACGAGTCCAGGACTGGGACTGGTTTTGCATCATTAATAATAAAAATACAATTACAACAATTATAGTAAATATCGAGTAGTGTGCGCCGAAGACATCAGTTGAGATGTGACACAGGCTAATCCCANAGAGGGATTTAATGTAGTGAATTCAATTACGTGGGAAGATTGTCGTAGGTTCGTGACTCTCTTTGTACAGTGTAATTCTTGTGTAGGTATTGCATGAGTCAGTGAGCAGCAAATCTAGATCATTTGTCTTTCCAATTTTCTTTTTAAAACGCTAGAAGTATAGTAGGCACCTATCTTCGTCGATCACTTTGTTTCCTATCTCTAAATAAATTACGTTAGTTGAAGTTTTTTTTAACTTGTCTAGCTCAAACTTACATTATTTTAGTGAGACCATTTTATTTTTACCATGGGTGTGCCGCAGGGATCGATATTGGGACCTTTGCTAATTCTTATTTACATTAATTACCTTCCCTACTTTGTAAAAGATCTATGTGATATTGTGTTATTTGCTGATGACACATCTCTCATTTTCAAAGTTGATAGAGGTAAAGTAAACCTTGATGATATAAATGACACACTCTCACAGGTTTTGCATTGGTTTACTGTTAACAACTTATTGTTAAATGCAAACAAAACTAAGTGTATTAAATTTACTTTACCTAATGTGAGGCAGGTTCCCACACAATTGATGGTGAAGAATGAACCATTAAATAGCATAAGTTCCACAACATTCTTGGGAATCACTTTAGACTCTAAACTTCAGTGGGGTCGTCATATTGAAACCTTGTCAGCAAGGCTCAGTTCAGCTGCTTTTGCAGTGNTCGAATAAAATTAAAATAAATGTTGAGCTCCATACAAAAAAAAAGGAAATTGTCAATAACTTATTAAATAATAACTTTATCAAGAAACGTTACATAACATAAAATATTCCTTTTTGGTAAAGGAACACATTGGCATATTTATTTTTTCAAAATTCGGCACTTGATTTTTGAGCGACGCTAAGTCTATGAAGCTCTAATATAAGCCCACCGTGCGCCGCGCACCAGAACAGCGGCGACTCGCTCGGCGGCTGGGAGGACGGCGAGTTCGAGCCTATCGAGGAGAACGTGGACGGTGAGTCACCCGGCCCCTTCCTAGGTACGGCTCTGGCAGCGAGTCACCCGCCCTAGCATTGCCTCATACTGCCCCCTCCCTAGCTACAGCCCTGACAGCGAAACACCTGGCCCCTCCCTAGCTACGGCCCTGGTAAGTCACGTGGCCCGAGCACCGCCCCGCCGCGCACCAGAACAGCGGCGGCTGGGAGGACGGCAAGTTCGAGCCTATTGAGGAGAACGTGGATGGTGAGTGACCTGTGGCCCCTCTCCTTAGGTTCGGCTCTGGCAGTGAGTCACCCGCCCCTCCTAGCTGGCCGGCCCCCTCCCTAGCTACGGCCCTGGTGAGTCGAGCACCAGCCCGCCGCGCACCAAAGAGCGGCGGCTGGAAGGACGGCGAGTTCGTGCATATTGAGGAGAACGCGAACGGTGAAACACCCTTTCCGTTATGGTTCTAGGCCTCGGCCCTGAGCACGTCGTCATCCAGCCAGAGCGCTGAGGCCGGTACCAGCATTTGTTTCAGTTTGGGCAGAATTTCAGAACTACTGTTTATGAAATGACTTACATTATTACGGCATTGTCACTCCCATCATTGATTACGGAATGTTTTATTTATTTATTTTTCAATTTCAGAGAACAACGCGTCTAAAATGGACGAGATGCGGCGCAAGCGCGAAGAACGCAAGCTGCAACGGCAGCGTGAGATGGAGGCGCGGCGCTCGGCGCGCGCGCAGGGGCCCATGAAGCTTGGCAGTAAGCTGTCCGGGCCCGCGCCGCCCTTCTAGTGACGTCCACTAATAACACCGAGGGCACATGCCTCCAAGACGTGACATCAAAGCAAAGGTGAATGTACCTTTTTACCCGTGGTTCACTTTGTATTAGTTCAGTTCTCAGAGGGGGTCAGTTTCCCATAAAGCTTAGCAGCTAGCTGTCTGAATCCGCGCCGCCCTTCTAGCGACTCCCACCCTGCCCCCTTATGCCCCTGGGACATACCAACGCAAATGTGAACCTTTAAAAGTTGTACCTTTCACTCGTTACCTTTGTACCCGTCTCTGAGAGGGGCTAACAGGGCCCATGAAGCTCGGTAGCAAGTTATCAGGTGTCGCGCCGCCCTTCTAGTGACCCCTATGCTACCGCTGCCCTGAGACCGAGACTCATACCGCAAAGGTAAATATACCTTTTTACTCGTTGTTATTTGTGCCCGGGTCTCTCTCACGAGGGGCTGACATGGCCCATAAAGCTCCTCAGTACGCTGTCACGGACATGGATACTCACACCTTGACTTTATCGACCCTCGCACTGGCAGTTTTAGCCCGATTTTTGTTCAGAGTGATATAACTATGATTTGTGACACTTACATCTAACCACACAGGAACTGGTAGGCTAAATAGCACATTATAAAACTAATCGAGAAAATTTCATGCTATTTGTTTTGTATCGCCTGTCTGATTTTTTCGAACAGTTTTATTACAAAATAACTTGTAATGCTACATACATGTTTGAGACTTTACATCTCACCATTGGATGAAATTTTAACGATTGTCTGTTCCATAAGGGTTTATTTCATGCTTTTTTCGGTCTGTTGAATGAATGGCAAATCAAACAGTTAGTTAACTGTCCATTGATGTAAGATAATTACATCAGTACCTATTATTACTGTATTTATAAAGAGACCCTTACCATGCTTATATGTACATACCAATGTGTATAAATAAAAAACTTGTGAAATTGTGTCTTAAATGCAGCGTAGGAGCGCAATCTTCTCTCTTGGCTCCCAAAAATGTGCAATTCAGGAATTGTTCTTTACAAATTTTTTCTAACGTCTTCATCATTACAAAAGTAAATTGTGGTCATAATAAATAACTTCTTTTGTTTCTCGCAATTATGTGTTACAACTTTATTAGTCAATTGTTATTATTTTTGCGTTTTACGCGTGTATATAAATTATATTATTTAAAGCATTTATAAGTTTAAGGTGTGTTATTTTATGTCTTATTTATCTTAAATCCTGTTTCTAAATTACATCGCTGTGATTGCTGAACTATTGGCCAATTTTAGAAACTGGGGTTATAGGGGTAGCTTTTATATTTTGCTAATTATTCTCCACTAATATAGACGAAATTGTGAATTTTATACGTTTTGCGATCACCAACATGTTTGTCAATCTATTTATGTATTTACAATAGTAATAAACAGAAGTTAGCTACATCGATGACTTGTTTTTTAATTGGTCGATATTAGGGATCAAGTTTTGTAAACTAAGATGCACCAAGTATAGAACGCTCAAGTGAGACTAGACGCCAGTAAGGCTATTAAAAAGAATATTTTCGAATTGTACTTAGTGACGTCAAAAGAATGACGAGATGATCGAATCGCGGTGGTTTTTCCATTGTTTTATCGAATAATAGCACTGTTTATAGACACGTGGGTCGTTTTCAGTGCTTCACGTTTCTGTAAACAGCATAAATGTAATACATCACAATGTTTCCCTCTAGCTTGTAACTACGCATATGATAATCAAATATTTAAATGTACAGATAAAACAAATTGCTTTTTCTTACGACGAAATTAATGGGAATGTGTGCAATCGGCAAATGAGGGTGTCAATTTGTTGTAAGTGCTTGTATGTTGAATTTGATGGACGCGCTGTAACATTCCAGCACCGATACTTGACATTGTAGAAAAAGAACACTCACCACTTTAATATTATCTTCAGATTGAATATCTTGATTATATTAATGCGATATCAAGTATCGAGGACTGATAGCTGTTAGTATGAATAGGTCGTGTATTTTATATGTATTATTGCGTATCAATTTTATATGTAATTTAATGTCTAACCGCTAGACTGAAACGGTCTATGATTTTTTTACCCTATAATGTTATATTGGCTAGTTGAATTTAATTATTTATTATTCATTAAAAATCTCTTGAAATCAATCGTGTTCTTAATCGCCATATTTAAATTCTAACATCAATGTGCCCAAAGCAACGAAACGGCTGCTCATTAAAATTATTTACCGTACTGTACTCGATACGCTTTAAAAACCAATTATGATAATTAACATACCTATATTTTTTAAATTCATTATGATTAGCGAAGCGTTGGTTTATTATACCTACAAGCAAGTTCTATTATTACGTTATTAGTTTACTGTGTATTAAAACAGTAGCTTCAATTCCGCTGCATGTATTATATTATTGTAAGTTCCGTTCGTTTTATTTTTTAAGTTAAAACAATCACACAAGTTATCAAACTTAAATGGTAAAATTAAGTTTTTGTGTAATTTTATTTATTAAAATTTGTTTTTTAAATTATCTGTTCATGGCTTGTTGAATGGAAATGAGTGGGTAACAAAATTACTTATTCTGTCTGCTATAAAAATTTACACTTCTGTAAATAAAAGTTTAAAAAATACTTTTTAGTTTTATTGAAATGAAACCAGGTAACTAAGCAAATACATGTTTTAATGCGGCAATGAAATGTAAAAAAATATGTTAGTTCAATGACAAAATTAATCACATATACAAAATAAACAAATCAAGCAACAAAAAAATGTTATTAGCAATACAAAAATAAACTATCATCTAATCAACACATTATGTGCTAGGACACCCATAATCAATTTACAACCCCATCAAATATGGCAGTCAAATTAATATAAAGTTGATCACTCATTTTTGATGGATAGGCAAATTGACCCTGCAACTGTAGCATACCAACCAAGCAGAAATCACAACAACTAGGAAGAAATACAATATTTATGAGGCAACAAATATCAAATAACACATTTTATGTTGAATATTTTTACAACTTTAATTAATCTGTATAGTACGAGTACTCGCGGTATCTTTTAAGCCTGATATTTAACCGAGTGTCGTTTCTAAAGATCATGTTACCTTCCAGACCCATCAAACACCGGTCTGTCTCTCTAGGTAGACAGGAATCCTCGTTCGTATTTACTTTGGTTTCATAGAAACAGAAAGAAATACTTCAAGGGCAATCGAGAATTAAGTCATCCGCGAGTCGGTAATTAAGTTAGACGGGTCGGGTCGGTTTAGTAAATCTACTCCTGTCTTCTTAACATAAGAGACTCCAAACCTCGGCTAAGTATCAGGCATAGCTCCCGCTTTACAAAACCTAATGGTCCTAAGAAAACAGTAACGTTTATTTTCAATGTAACAAGGTTCAAAGTCGCACTTGGCGCCGTCTGAGGGGTGGCGATGAGGCGTGGCGTGGCGAATGCTGCGAAGTCTGCTCGGCCGCTGTATCGTACTTACAGTTTGGAGCGCAGGTCGGACGTCCCAGCGGCTAATTGTCAGGATGGATCATCGAATCTGAAAAGATAATAATTTGTCGTTCAAATAAAAGTACAAAATATAATAAGTATTCGGCCAAGATTCCGATGATTGCAGTAACCTATTTTGAATGTGCTAAAGTCACATTAGCCGATAATATAAGGATAATTAAAAGTGATAATGAGTGACTGCAGAATGTATGATGTAAAATGTTATGTATGTGTGAATTTTCACTCAGCCGCATTCAATCCGGCTAATCGTTGAACCGCCGCATTTTAAAAAGGTTTTTGAAAACGACTACCCGTTTGCTAGCCGACTGCGATACAGTATGGAGTAAAAAACCCACCTCATATTCATGGCGTTAGAGTTGCCTGGCTCCATCTTGTAGCCGAGGGTCTCGTAGAACTTTATCAGCTTGTCTTTGCAGTCCAGAGACATCTTGTAGCAGCCAAGCTCCTGCGCCAGCAGGGATACAGTCACCACAATCCTGGAAAAGATATTGTAGATTGTTTACCCACAATGACATAAGTTTATAGGCGCTTTCAAATTAGGCGTTTTGAGATGGCGTTTGTCATGCATTTACAGGACCGCACCGACGCAGTTGTCATACAATTTTCCGTGTGCGATACTGCAAACGGACGACTAAAGTTCGTTTCAAAACGCCTAATTAGAAAGTGCCTATGACTATGATATGAGAAAATGATTATGATAGTTGTAGCTATTTTAATATTGTGATTTTGAGTACTATTACTTACAGCTTTCCAAGTTGTTTCCCGCGATACGTATCGTTAACAACCACATCTTCCAGCCGCCCACGCTAAAAAATAATAAAAATGTTTTATTTATTTAAATAGGTAAGTAATATAAATTAAATCACGGAAAACAAAGAATAAAACTTACATAAGAACAGTTGTGTATGAACTTTTGCTCAATGGTAAGCGTAGCAGCGCCGATAATTTTGGAAATGCGGGTATCTTCTATGACGGTTACATAGTAACCTCCAGATACTTTCATTTGAGTAAACCGGTCTGAAAATATAAGAAAATAAATTGATTAATTAAAATTAACTTATTTATAAAGGCGGCTCCAAATTCAAAAAGAGCTAAAAAACGATTCCATAAAATACTTGAAGGTCCAAGCAACATAGATTGAAAGAAAAAGTTCAAGTTGGTAAACATGTGCCTAGAGTTCTAGATCATAATATTGCAAAGTCAAAAGCAGGAAGAAACAAGGCCTTTGAAAGGTCAGTAGCTTATTAGCGAGGGGCTGAGTTATTCCAAGGTCGCGTCAGCTAAATGGCGATAAGAATTCCACATTCTATCTTCCGCGCATATTTAAAAACCAGTTTGGGCGCTACAAATTGATTAAATAAATCGTTATCAGATTTATTAAACACTTCATTCGTATTTACAAGAACATGAAGATATCTACCAGTAATCAAATATAATAATCATGATTTTATGAGTCACATTTGGTAGATCATTTTCCGATTTTTTTATGTTTCCCAGAAAATAGTATAGGATTTTTATTATCAATCAATATTAATTTTTTGTTCACTGCTAATGTGCATTCAAAGAATGTCATACATATGTATAAAATCTTTACTTAATTACAGCCTAAAAAAAATAAGACCTATTGGAATACTAAATTGAAACACAATCCTAACCCTACAACTTGATGTTATTATTTATAATTACTTTTGTATAGGTACTTTGATGAACAGGGTCAACAAAATTCAATTACCTATTAATTTAAAAACTGCAACATACTTTTTAGCTAGTTAATTGAATGTTCAGTCAAGATCTAATATTACTAGTAAGTGGATAGAATCACAAAAAAAACTTATGAAAACATTACCAGAAATACCTACCTACTTTAAAAAAAAGTAAACATCATTTAACATTACAAGGGGCAGATCTAAACTACAATAAATAAATATAATTGGGCTAGTAAAATGATTGTTTGAGTTAATAAATAAGTAAATTAACATTATCTAATTCGTTTCATGAAAGTGAATTACACTGATAGTAGGTTTTATATTTATTTATTGGTAATTTCCTTTAGTTCTTACCATCAAACTGTTTTCTTGACACATTTCCAACGCTAGTAAGCTGTCCCAGCAGCTGCAGGAAGCCTTTATCATAATCTAAGCGTTGCAGCGGCCTCACAACCATCCAGTCTTCACCGGGCTGTGCTGCACTGATCTTCGGTTTGAATATCGCTGGGCTTTTGTTAAAGTCCAGCCTTTTGAGTATCTCAGGGGCATAGAGATACTCTGATTTTCCCTCCTAAAACATATGAAAATTAGTTTTAATGATACCTTGAATAGTTACAGCCAAGAATGTGAATCTAGTCAAAATATAAGGGTTATTGTATATTTCCTACTTTTTATTTTGCGTCAGGTAGTTTTAAATCATAAAAGTAACAGCCTAATTGGAAATATTTTTATCTTGATCAAATATACCTAACGTAAGCAAAAACAACTTTTAATTATAGTTTTGTAATAAATAAATAAATACTTACCCCATTTAAACTTAGTTTATCCATTCCCATTTTTTCAGTTAATTTATTGTCAGGTTTAACTTTTAAATAAAATAATTACATTATATCATGGGAACTTTTAACACACTTGTATTTTGGAAATATCCGGGTTATCTAAATTAACAAAAACACGTAGAATCTACTACGCATACGTGGTAGGTATTCAATCAAGAACATCTGTTATCAAGAAGAACTCGAAAAAAAAATGGAAAAGCGAAAGTGAAAGACACAGTGAAAGACATGAACATGAATGAAAGGTCTCGTCGTTCACTCCCGCGCGGATTTTTTTGCCAACTTGGTCGATAATTGTTGCCATTGTCAAAAAGTTTCGCTTTTCGTTTTGGAGAAGAACTATTGCAAATGTGCACCATCCCTAAAAATATTTATGGAAATTAAAAAAAAACTACCATTCGTTCATCATCTGTCACTGTCAAAAACAGCTGATTGCTTGATTTTAGACTGTCGGGTCGGGAAGAAAATATCTGAAAAAAGTTAGTTTTTATATAAATTATCAATAGCACACTCAATGCTGATTTCATAAAGGTGTTACAAATGACATCATTAGTGAATATAGGTGTAAAATTCTCCATAAAACACCGTAATTTTTCAACTTTGTGTAAACACATAAATAAGTGTGGCGAGTTACATTTTCCAGCAACACAAAATGTTACCAAACGTTGGTTATTCTGGGAGAAAGACAGAAAAGGTGGCTATGATACTGCGATTAAAGTTTCCCTAAAGGAACATCTGAAGAATGGCTTTAAAGAAATAAAGAATGAGTTTCGTTTGCTGTCTCAAGAAGTCAAGGATCTTGTTGAAACAGACCCCCTTCTAGTTGCTCGTCCAGGTAAGTTATACTAATTCTGTGAGTGTGAACTAATTAAAGCTTATCCCATTTACATAATGCATTGGCTCCATTAATTTGTGTTGTATTGATGTAATGTAATCGAGGCATATAGATCAATGTGAAGTGTCGTGTCACCACGTTAATTTCTCAAAACAAAGCTGTGTCTTATGAAGAAAGAACGGCAATTTCAAAAAAATCTTTCTGAATTTAATGGAAAATAAAAAACTTAAAAAGAAACACTAACTACCTAATCGTCAATACGAATCAAACGAGCCTGTATAATGTAATAGCCGCTTTTTTCTAGTGTTTCATTAATCAGACTTATTTGTTGATAAGTTGAGACACTCCATTGGTTTATATTCAAGCTTTACTTTTATTAGTATCATTCGGTCCCTGCTCTTTAGTCTATGGTTCGTCAGCCATTTCCTTTAGTTCATTCATTCATTGTACACGATTCAAAATAAAAATCCGTTGCCAGGAAATCGTTGAAAATAAACTTTGTTTTGTTTCTATTTGTGCCTTTTACGTGACGAAAATAGCACCGACGAACACTTTTATAGTTTTATTATACTTTTGCATACTATACTGTTAAAACTAAACCAGAAACGAATGTTTTCAAATATCTTGACTGTTGATTCTTCGTCATCGCCAGTTCCTAACCAAAACAGTAGTTTGAAGAATATTTATCAAAAATTTCAATTTATTTTGGGCCGTGGAAGTGGAAGCAGTGAAATAAAAAAAGAGATGTTGTCGGCTCGAGGAAGTGCAGCTACGTCAGATGATAGTTTCATTACTCCTGTATCTTCCATGGGTGATCTAATGGCACTGTCTCCAAAAAAATCTACAGATCTAATGGACCAGCCCGATGTCACAAACGATCTCCTCACCGGATCCGAGTTTGATAGTATATGTGACGTTACAATGCAAGAAGTTCCAGCCTACGACGATATGTTCATTGATGCTACAAGTTTAGATTACTTGGTGAAATGTGCAGAATCCAACCGCAATCACAATCTTATAGACCGAGGCAAGGAAAGTTTATTTGTTAAGTTTGATCCACTCTATGCTGCTAAATCTCTGGGATCATCACAACATAGTGAATCTATAGCAGATTCTACAGAGGGTGACATCGGTTACGAGACTGGCAGTGCGGCTTCTGGATTCACGGATAGTCACGTCGCATCACCCAAACATTCCATGTCTGTTGGGTCTATTCAAGTGTCCAATGTGAGAGAGAAGCCAATGCAAGTTGTGCCACCTGTAGTGAATTGTGAACCTACTAAATCAAGTGCCTCACACACTCGACCTACTCCAGGCCTGATTCGTAGTGTATCTGCCATACTCACTCCGACACAAGTAGCCACAGATAGATTGATAAGCATCGCAGGCAGCACACCACCCACTGCAGCTCCACGGAGCCCCCGTTACCACAACTACAGTGCGCAAGAGGTAGACAGACTTCAATCCCTTCGTGTTATTCTACAAAAACAAGATCAAGAAGTCCTTCTTCTCAGACAAGAAAACAGAGAACTAAGATCTGCACTTCAGGATAAAGAACATAGATATTCACGAACAATTGAAGAGTTGGAGTCTAAAATTAAGAAATTGATGGATGAGAAAGATAGTTTACAGGACAGGGAAAATAAGTTGACTCAGCAGGTCAATGAAAAGAATATAAGCAACAAACAAATGAGTATTGTTATGGAAGAATATGAAAAAACTATTTCATCTTTGATTGGTGAGCAACAGCGTGATAAAATTCAGTTCCATGAAACTCAGGAAAGATTGGTTTTAGAGAGAGACCAAGCCCTGAATCACCTTGCCAGCATGGAAAGTTCATTTAATGATTTGCTATCCAAATATGAAAAATGTAAAAGTGTAATAATGGAAGTTAAAGATAGAGAGAAAATATTTGAACAAAAGATTTCCGAATATGAAGTTGGCATGAAGAAATATGATGTATTGTATAACAACCTTAAAGAAGTGACATCTGATAACTTAACAAAAGCGAATGAGACTTTGGAAAGCATCAAGAAGAATCACAATGTGGAAATAACGAAGTTGAATGCTACAATAAAAAAACATGAGATCACTATTGCTTCCTTGCAAGAGTCTCTAGTTCAAAAGACAAGAGACAATGAAGAATTAACAAGAATATGTGACCAGCTCATAAATGAAGTTCGTTGATGGAGCTTCATAATTAAATATTGTTTACTCATTATTTATTTTTCATACTAAGTTTGGTATTGGTGCTCTTTCTGTACTTAAAAGCTTTGTAGTATTTTTGTATTATTATGGTCTCAAAAATTTCTGCTGTGATCTTTATTATATGTTCTGAATAATCTTGTTATTATAACTAAATATTGCCTTAGGAATGACATTTATTTAACTAGTTAACAATAATCTTCTTGACTTGTAATTTTAGCAATATTAATAGAAACAAATTGTTGAGTATATTAACTGTAAGAATATATTAATTTGTTGCCAAGTTGTGATTATGGCTAGCCTATTGATTAGTGCCTGATATTATTGTGACATTTTATATATTTTATAAGTTGTGACAATTTTGCTTATTATTTTAGTTATACATCACTTTGAGTAAGACGCCAATTTGTGGTCATTACGATTGGATTTTGTGATGGTGGCTTTACTATCAAAATATTATAGGCCAGATCAAAAGCTGAGATCATGTTGATGAAATAAAATTATTCAACTTAATTAAATATGGCCAGTAGTGCCTCAAGTAATGGTACAAGCCACCAAAAAACTTGAATTATGTCTTATTATCATGTAGTTTGAACTTCATGGTTTTACTTGATGTACTTTAGACTTCTGGGTTTTAAAATAAAGTGCTATTATAGACTTTTATAACTTTTGTTGTTAATTTCGAAACACCTTCCCATACTGGCCATACTAACTGGCCATACCAGTAGCATTTAATTTTATTTAGTAGGCCTATGTTATGTTCAATTCAATCAATAATAATTCATCCACAAAAAATATTTTAGGAGTCATCAGTATCATTTTGGATGCTCAAATTATGACAGATTTGAAGATTTTTGTATGAAAATAATTCAATTTTCTAATGCTACTGACTATACAAGGGTTATTCTATAATTTTACAGGTGAAACTGATGTAATCTGGTGCTTCAATGAGCAGTCAGTATTGGACAAATTCGTGACTACGAGCGATAGCGACCACAACCAGGGCTACAGCACGTGCAAACTGGAGCTGAGTGAGGCTGGCAGGGCCCAGTTCCACGGCATCCTAGACACCAGGGTGCCTAAGGATGGAAGGATAAAGAAGGCGGGATATTGCGCTATGAGATCTCAAAGAATTAGGGTGAGAACAAACTCCACTTTTATGATAACAATGTTTGATTTTTTTGTCTGTATAATTTAAAGCTTCGTCAAATAGAACGCGTATCTGGCGCGCGCTAGCGTCTGCAACTCGATTAATGCTATAACATACAACCCCGTCGAGATGCGCAGCTATCCTGGCGGTCGTGACGTCACAACGATGCTCTGGTACGGACGGGGCGAACGCGGCGAGGTACGCAGTTAGTTCGATCGAGTCGTAAGTATACGTGATATATCATCAGCGTTTGTGCGATAAAACCGTAGTAATGCCCACTGCAGTCATTGTCATAAAGCGCACGCACAGGCCTGTGGTTGATATTCACGTATTAGGGTGATTACACGAGAAAGCAGCGATACCCAATAGCGACGAGACGATGCTTCTGGTTGCGAGTGATGTAACTGAGTCTTGGACTGATTATTTCTTTTCGTTTCGGAACTCCGAGGTCCGACTCGAATCATGAACATGGGTTTGAGATAATGGATATTCTATTTCTTTTTTTTTGCAGAAATCCTTCAAACGGGAGTCAACATTCAATTGGAATTTATACAATACCTTGGTACTGAAAGTGCGTGGTGATGGCAGATCTTACTTATTGAATATCGCCTGTGAAGGGTATTATGACATAACATGGAATGATATTTACCACTACGTGCTTTACACCAGAGGCGGTCCTTACTGGCAACTTGCTAAGGTAAACAAATAAGCCTAGCCGCGGACCACAGACTATTGGTCTGCCGATAGTTGTATCGGGCTGTTAATCAGTATGGACATGTATGAAATTGCGCACACTTTCCTCTATGGTGCGCACATTACACTGATTTGGTATCGGCCGATTCTTCATACAAATTAGAATCGGGCCCAAGTATCAGCCGACTAAAAGTCTATAGTCTGCGGGTGGTCTAAAGCTGTTTCAATAATTCACGAGAATATTCTTACTGTTAATTTTTAAATCTATTACATTTTTTTTATATCCTAAGATAACAAAAAAGTAATCGAAGTATACTTCGAAAATATTTGTTGTTTCAAACTTTATTCTTATAATCAATACATGAATGCGTTTTATTTTATTCCAGATACCATTTTCTAAATTCGTCTTCGCTTCAAAAGGCCGAATACAAGACAAACAACACAGGATGCGACTTGATAGAGTGACGCACTTCGGAATAGCGTGTGGTGATAAAATACCTGGTAGATTCAACTTGGAAATAGAATATGTTGGTATGTATTTTCATACACTACGTAGGTTACGTACGTCGGTATTGAGCAGTGAGGAAGGGATGGCATTTGTATACGTATGTCTAAAGTTTATAATGTAGTATAGTGTCGCTAAAGCTTGCCGTAATAAAAACATATCCCCCGCACATACCACTACCAAAAGAACCTAGTCTATGCCTGATAAAGCTTAGGTACGACTCGGTCGAGTCAACTGGCGGCCGTGACGTCACATCGACGCTCTAGCACAGAATAAGTAATAGTACAGGTACAGAAGGATTACTCCGCAAGACGATTTAAATAAATGCGAGTCTTGCTACGACGCGATACAGTGGAATTCAGCTCGCACAGCACTACGTATAGGTGTACCAGAATCTCATGGCAAATGGGGAAAATAAACTTTGTTGAGTGCCATACTGGGGAAATTGGATTAAACGATCTTGATTAGAGATGCACCGAATGTAGATTGAACCGAATACGAATGTTCGGCCGAATATTCGGTTCAAAATGTACCGAACCGAATATTCGGCCGAATCATTCGGTTCAAATTTTATTAAAACTTAAATTACTGTTAAACTACAGTTTTTTTTTAATTTGTGAACGGATGATATAATTTGTCTATTGTTGATTTTAAAGAATTTTATTTGAATTACATTGAATTTAAACTACACCTAGTTCACTATTCACTAGCATACCTACATACCTAGATAGATATTTATTTAAAAAAACTAGTTTATTATAAACATATTTGAATACCTGTTTTGCTTCCTTAAGATAGTAGTTATTACATCATAACTATTCTAAAAAAGTTTTCTGAAAATAGTTGTTTGTTACTAAAGCAGTGTCCTTAAAATTTTCAATTTCATAAAAATTAAATTTACCGTCTGTAAAGCAGCAGTTTCTTTGATAAAATAATTATTTATTGATTGTTAATCTTTTTATTTCACAATAAATAATTGGTACAAGTAGTGTCTGTTTCATTATCAAAAACTATAAAATACTTTCGCAATAAACCACACTTATTTAGTAATTAGTTAACCAAACTGTTTAATTAAATATTATTTTTTCAATTGTTAACAATAATTTTAATATTCGGTAATTATTCGGCAATTCAACCGAACATTCGGCCGAATACGAACATGAAAAAATATGCCGAATGTACCGAATACGAATATTCAACCGAACATTCGGTGCATCTCTAATCTTGATACTGTTATTTTTTATTTTATAACTTTAATATTAATGAACATGAAGTACGAATATACGAGTGTATTGTTTTTAACTTTCATGGTCACTAATGTTAGTGATGGTAGCATGTTAGTGATGGTAGCATTATTATTAGTGACAAGATTGCTACCATGTACCTTAGTTTTGAGTTTCCGATATTTCGGCACTGTCACAACGGAGTAACTGAAGAAACTTGCTGTGAGATGTTATGGGCAGACATTATTGGTCTACCCTCTTTCGCAGTCTTTTATTATGATTGCCATTACCCGCAAGTTTCTTCAGTTACTCCGTGACCATGGCGCTTGCAACAGTGCCGAAATATCGGAAACTCAAAACTAAGGTACATGGTAGCAATTCCGTCAGTAATAATAATAGGAAAATGTCTTGAAATATAAGTAAANTAAATAAAATAAAAAAAAAAAATTCAGCAGCAAGGCAGCAGATGAAAATGATGAAAAAAAGCTATTGGAATTTAAATACAGAATCCTTGATTAATTTTTTTCTACTAACTAACTAGAACACCAGTGTGATCTTGCATCGGATCCAGGAATATGTCACTGTAGTTTACCGTCCTACGTAGCTATCTAGCTACGAAAAGTATTTCAGTACTACCAACTTTGTTATTCGTCCTCTGCAACCAGTAGACGCCCTTGTGTGACATTGTGCCCCTCCCCTCTCTGATCTTCAGTAAGTATGATACATAAAATTCTGCTCAATCGTAGCCTAACTAGGAGGGTTACAATTGGTCAAACGGCGAATCATATTTACGTAGCAGCCTACTTATGCTACTTTTTTACTTTTTGATTGAAATCTAATGTCAACAAAGAAAATACGTAAGAAAAATGGGTTGGTTAGTGCCATAATATTTTTTAGATAGAGCTATTTAGCTGCTATATGTAAATAAAGTCCGAATCCTATAGATTGAACCTGATGTGGTGTACTGGAATGTATTACTAATTACAGTTAAAATTTAGGTAGAGCCGGTATGCTACGAGGCATCAATAACGATGTGCAGCCTGTGGTTCAGCTTAGTAAGATGATCCTCTTAGTGAGGATTTTTAAATACTCGTAGTACCTGCTTAGTATTGTTATCCATTCCGAAACAAAATTAAAAAAATATATAAAGATACACGTCATTCCAGAACAAAATACCCTGATGACTTCAGGTTCTAATTCTCTACAAAGATGATACCTCAATCTTCATTCGGCACCTACACCGGAAACTTTTTATCATTAAAAGATTATAATGAGTAAATGCTTACCTATATGACGTAGGTAGGTACTCGTATATGTTAATTATGGTTCTAAATCAGATACACTAAAGTAGATAGTAAATGTAGAGTAGGGTCATACCTATAGTCCCTTAACTAAAGAAGAAGTACAAAAAGGCATCTCTACAATTCATAAAAAATGTATGCTGCAGTATTTTAATTTCAATTTAAGGTTCACGTGATACCTGAAAACCTGAAATGAGTTTAGATAGAGTCTACAATAAATTGGTCTCTTACCTTACAGCTAGTCAGTCTTTTTGTTGCTTGTAACACCATCTCGTAGCGATTTAGGGAACCATTTCTTTGAGAGAGCTTGCGATGCAGCCCCCGAACGAACGCCATCTAATAGAAATTAATTGTACTAAATTGAAGATTTTGCGCCATCTGGCTGACGGTTTATCAGTGCGGGAGGCTCCCGCACCGTCGAACGACTGAACCGCGCAGGCTTCTACATCCACACGTCTAATAATACACCTACACTGTAATCAAGATGGCTTCGTTTTATTTAGAGGTTTTGCGCAGCAATCTCGAGGCTAATTTGAGATCTAGGCTGGCCGTTATTCGTTGTTCAGCCGTTATTTTCGTTAGCCGTTACTCGGAACATATTTAGAAGTGGCCGGGCGTTCAACGATTCGTTCGCCGGGCGGCGGTTTGTTTATAAATATTTGTTCGAGTAAATATTATGACGTCGGTGGAATTTTTAGTTTTCTAGAGATTTCCTTCTATAATAATAAAGTGAGGTGTAAAATACTACTGGAATTTCTCATAATTACCTATACTTATCTCCTGAAATGATTACACTAAGTAAAAAGCGTTCTGAAGTGTTATTATTATTATTCTGAGTAAAAATACCTTCTCTGGCAATCACATTCCACTAAAGTGGTTGAGTCACCTTTGTTACTTAGAATTAATGATAACCCCTGCCTGTACGTTTGCACATTATTATTTATTGGTATTTATATCTTATATTGACTCTCCATTACCTCATAATCATGAAATAATACATATAATTGCAAGTCTGAAAGCACCAAAAATACATACATTCCTACAAATGTTAAAAACTTTTGAAATTAATAAAATAAGTAAAGATTAATTTTCATTTTGATCTCGTTTCATACTAAATCCATAATGCATATACAAAATTATAAACTCTTCTAATAGATGGCGCTGGATTCTTGACTGAACTCGCGATTTAAGACTAAATTTTCGCAAACGTTCTTTGGTTCTCTCTCACCACATATTGCTAACATTTTTTACTAGATGGCGTTACGAGGATGTTATAGGTGTACCAGAATCTCATGGCAAATGGGGAAAATAAACTTTGTTGAGTGCCATACTGGGGTTAGCAATCTTGTCACTAATAATAATTATGTAATTATTATTAGTGACAAGATTGCTACCATGTACCTTAGTTTTGAGTTTCCGATATTTCGGCACTGTCACAACGGAGTAACTGAAGAAACTTGCTGTGAGATGTTATGGAGAGACATTATTGGTCTACCCTCTTTCGCAGTCTTTTATTACGATTGCCATTACCCGCAAGTTTCTTCAGTTACTCCGTGACCATGGCGCTTGCAACAGTGCCGAAATATCGGAAACTCAAAACTAAGGTACATGGTAGCAATTCCGTCAGTAATAATAATAGGAAAATGTCTTGAAAAATAAGTAAATCGTATATTACTTTTTGTAGGACTAATTTTATTATGTATCAACTAGATAACGATTCTAATTTAAGAATTCCACTTTTCTTCAATAGATGATCAAGATAAAGAGGTATTTATTTTAAATTGCTCTTCCAGCATTTCAATTATTCAATCTTGCTTGATGAAATGTTTTTCAATGTTATTTACAAGGTCATAACATTTTCACCATTCCTCTGCACCAATTTGTGAGGTACACCTGAAACCCCCGATAAAGCAGTTATTATGTAAGAATAATATACAAAACAACCCTCCTTCAGACGCAGTTATGTAATAAACTAAACGTATCAAAACATTTCACTCCAACTTACTGTCAACTCAACGACGAGCTTTAAAATCAAAGATTTACTTTGAATTATGCCTTATTTTATAATACACATTGAAAACAATATGACTTGCTTGAGCTTTTTCGACTTTTTCACAAAAATAACAAATANCCAGCATTTCAATTATTCAATCTTGCTTGATGAAATGTTTTTCAATGTTATTTACAAGGTCATAACATTTTCACCATTCCTCTGCACCAATTTGTGAGGTACACCTGAAACCCCCGATAAAGCAGTTATTATGTAAGAATAATATACAAAACAACCCTCCTTCAGACGCAGTTATGTAATAAACTAAACGTATCAAAACATTTCACTCCAACTTACTGTCAACTCAACGACGAGCTTTAAAATCAAAGATTTACTTTGAATTATGCCTTATTTTATAATACACATTGAAAACAATATGACTTGCTTGAGCTTTTTCGACTTTTTCACAAAAATAACAAATAGGCTTAGATTAATAAAACCTAGATGGATAGTCTTCATACAAACGCTTCGTCAAGAGTGAGGCAAAAATCCTATGTCATTAGTGTCAATTTTGTTGGGGAGTGTAGACAGTGAAGGCGATTTTCCCGAAAGTAGGGAAATTTTTAATACGTTTTTAATTATTTTATAACTAACAAAAACAAAACGCATCATGTACTTACTTATTTATTGAATTCAAAATACCTACCTAATTACAATAAGATAAATCGACTTAAAAGTCTCGATTTCATTAAAAAGGAAGTGTATTTGTACGGCGAACAATTGGGAAATAAATTTTCTTGTTACTGGTATCATTCCCGTATTTAATTTTTGAAAGCCAAATTCAAGCAAAATACGCGTCGAATCGTAGTACTTACTTATGAAATGTAACACTGGTCACTTTCTTTAGTTTTTCTGATGTATTTAGACACCCTTTCACAGCACAAACCGTCTTAATTAATTAAAAGTCGTCGGACGTGTTTACCAATTTTTCACTTTGACAGTTCATGTGACTTTTACGAGTAAGCCATTCTGGCTCACTAAAATCTGCCTCACCTTTCGTGCACTGACTATCTATCTAGGTTTTATTAATCTAAGCAAATAGGCATGAAGAGATTACAAAATTTTTGCAGCGGCTGACAGCTTTCATAATTTTCTTTGACAGGTGACAATTAAACCATAGACAATTGCCATATGAAAAACACACTTTTCCAATATTTTTGTTTGCCATGAGATTCTGGTATACCTATAATATTTAATATTTTTTATGTAAAGAACTGCCCGCTACATCTACAATAATCTACACGCATTAGTAGATCAATAGGCCATTTTCAAGAAACTTAAATACCTACATGTCCCAAATAAAGCTTACCCTCTCCTTTGGAACAAAATATCGACTGGTGCTGAAAAAAAATGGGGAAAGAAATTCAGTCACTTTTTCAGTCTCTTATTTATTACAGGAAATACCATTTACAAGCATGGACCTATAAAAAAAGGCGGACGGAACTCGCGCTACAACAAAACTGTGACGCAAAATTTTGGCGTTTGTATATTGTGTGAGTGAATTTAGGGATGCCATGTTAGCCAAAACATTTTACCCATTTATCTTAAGAAAAACATAGATGGGCAGATAATATGTTACTTGGAAATGTAGACGAAATTATATCGTGCCATTTGAAAAGGATGAAAGATGAATACGTTGAGGTAGACGCGAAATTTTCAAATTTTCTTACTTTGTTTGCAAGTCAGTGTCAGGTACGATTCACGCAGTTACAAATTATCAATCTTGTGTACCTACGTAATCATATTCTTATGTATCATCAATATTATTATCTCTGATAGATTTTAACATACAACCTGACACTGACTTGCAAAAATATAAGAAAATTTGAATTTCGTAGTTCCACGCCCTTGGGAAGGATCAAATCTGCCTTTGAAAAGGATGAAAGATGAATACGTTGAGGTAGACGCGAAATTTTCAAATTTTCTTACTTTGTTTGCAAGTCAGTGTCAGGTACGATTCACGCAGTTACAAATTATCAATCTTGTGTACCTACGTAATCATATTCTTATGTATCATCAATATTATTATCTCTGATAGATTTTAACATACAACCTGACACTGACTTGCAAAAATATAAGAAAATTTGAATTTCGTAGTTCCACGCCCTTGGGAAGGATCAAATCTGCCTACGAAAACATATATTATCCCATTAAAACACAGTTATTATGATACATTATTTTATTTCAATAGTATGCGTAATAAAAACCTAAAAAGTCTTAAAATTATAGATTTCCCACTTTTCGGGTAATTTTCCCACGTAAATAACTGAGAACACTGGCTTTTGACGTATTATTTTGTCGGGTGATTGACGTTTGATTTTAATATTTTAATGTTTATAAAATCGGGGAAATAAGTGATTAGATTATTAGTTTACCTGTGAAATGTGATTCCTTGATTTTTGTTCGTTCGATCAGAACGGTTTTTACACAATTTCACCACGCAAGACATGTCGTATTTGTGTTTTTTTTTCGCCGCGTAAATGTGTCAACTGTGTGAAGTTTGCACTCGAAGTGGTGTATCAGGGTATGAATGTGTGCGTGCCGGCCTGTACGTACAGGCGAGCTGGTATATCCTAATGTCACAGTATTTTGTTGATGAGAATCCGTCCGACTTTTTTTATAGGTCCATGTTTACAAGATATGGAATAAGTGCGGGCTAGGCACGTACCTATAAATTAAATTTTAATTTAGGAAAAACTTGAACACGCCATGTATTTATTCTTGCTTGTATTTCCACTAACATAAGACTGACTGCACTCTCTTATAGCATTATCAGCTATAAGAGAGTACCAATTGTACTCTTTGTGCAATAAAGTAATACAGCTGTTTAGTTGTGTTTTGTTTTTAACTGCTTAGCAGTGATACAAGTAAGAGAAGTAGGTAAGTCTGTAATTATACAGACGTATTATCGTAAATACATCTCACTGCAGAGAGACTTCGCCAAGTGGCAACTTTGGACCTGATTTTATAAAACACAACCTATCTTATTAGATTTCCTTGCTCTACGTTCCACTACGACTGCTACGTGTACCAAGCTATAATTTTTAATAGGATGTTTGATTACCACATTCTGGTTTTATTTATTGAATATCGTTATAGGTTTAAGATAACATAACAATACGGTTGAGTAACTCGCTGTGGAAATCCTTGGGGAAAATCTTTGTCCAGCAGTGGACGTCATTTGGCTGAAACGAACGTCACATTGTTTGTATGTATGGTTAATCTGCTCATGGACTCAGGTTTTTAATGCCAACGAGCCCAATTAGACCCTTCGTTCGTCAATCGTTCTCCTATCAATGTCTAACTCCTCCCTCTGCAAATCTTACTGAAGTCTGTAGTTGGATAACATTTCCGAAATAGTTGTATCGCCCTACGTCTTCCTTAAGAATGCTGCTACGAAATAATAAATTTGAAGTTTGGAAGGCAAATGTAAAACGAAGGTAGGTTTGCATGCGTCTGTAATAGGTCAATGTATAGAGGCACTTAAATAATTCTAGATAGAAATCTAAACTGTGCCTTCTCCCATAAGACTACCTGTGGTACTGTAGTCATTATTTTAATGCCATTATTAGACTTTAGTGGGTAAGTTAAGAAAAGAGTTAAAATTCCTTAGTTTGTGTTTAAAACATTGTTCTAATTAGTTACTAATCTGTCCAAATATTTATACAAAAACCAATAGGTATAGGTTTTAATTAGATTTATAGTTGTCGGAATAGCAATACTTAACCAGTTGTAGGTACTATAAGATGGGACAAACTACTGTTTTGAAGAAATGGTAGGTATTTATCAATGACATGAACATCAATGGTAAGTATTTTATCTCAATATTATCGATTAGGAAATACAAATGAATGAAAATCAAATTCAGAGTTCTGAAGTGGGTAGGGTAAGTGCGTTAGTTTTCGTCCAATTATCGGAGTTGCCAACTTTGTGATGCGAAATGAATATCCTAAAATACCCTTACTCATATGTATCATATGTCATTTTAGTCCTTATATAGTCTACTTTACGTTAATATAATATGACAATAAGTAAATACCACGGGTTTTTTTATAAAAAATATTTTATGCAAAAGAGGCGATTTCATTAGTTTTCGTCCAAAAAAATCAGTTTTCGTCCTAGTGTACGCTAGTTTTCGACCACTGTGTAGCAAAAAGGGTGCAGTTGAATTATTAACTTAAAACCAATTCTACAATACAGTAACTATGGATTGTGGTATATCATTTGAAAGGTAATTTTGTTAGCTTTCAAATGATATCAAAAAGATTTAAATAAGTTTCTTGCCTAAATTTAGGAAAATATTGCAATAGGTCGAAGGATAAATGGACGAAAACTAATCTACAGGAATAGCTAATTTTGGTTTTCGTCCACCCCAGTGCTTGCTCATGACGTCATGGACGAAAACACAACAACGTTTAAAGCTGTTTTTTGTTTTCGTCCACATCTTTTTAACGGTTTTTATGGGTTTATCACTGTTAAAAAGTGGACGTAAACTAAAATGTTTAATGTAATAGCAATAAAGATCATATTGGAAGAAAAAACATTGTATTTTGTAGGTCCATTGAAGTAAAATGATTATTAAAAATATTAACTAGGTGTCAGGGTTTCCGTCCACGTGGACGAAAACCAAAATCTTGCAAAATTGTTATGCTAGTATTAGTCCACTTAATTATCTAAGATTTCTATACAAAAACTTTAATAAACCCTTAAAATAGTGTTTATTATGCTAATAATTAGACATACGTGCCAAAAACATTACGTAAAGTAGCTAAAACAGTAATTAAACATACCATGAAAGTTCCCTACCGGCACGTTTTTTTTCTAACTTGACGACGTTTTCCATTCACCTGTGTGCACCAGCAACTTCCGTAGATTTTTTTGGAGTTATTACTTGTCAAATTACATTTTCATGCAGGCAGAACTGTAACTTAGATATTATAGATTGTAATAAGTCCAAACTTGCACGGAAAGTTAGGTTTGTATTCTAATTTTCCGTATTTGTTTGTGGCAAGTCGGTCAAATGGACGAAAACAGGAGCTGGACGGAAAACCGGCGCAATTACCCTACTGTTTTATTATAAAAAGGCATAATAAAATGGAAATAAATATATTACTTATCCTAAGTACTTATGTACAAAATCTTGTGTGCGCTACATGGAACAAATAGGTTGCAGACAATAGGCACAGCTATACTAAACTAGGTACATGGTGTTTTCCTAATCTCAATTGAGACAATGTTTCTATTCCCATCACTTTTGACTAGATTTCTCAAGAACAATATAGTCACACAACAATGTCCTTGTGCACTTGGTTTTGTACAAAAATCTTAAAAATAATATCACTTGGAGCAGAGCTATGGCGAAGTGCTCACTTGCCGAGCAAGATTTTGCGGCCAGCGCCCATGTTCTGACCGGCCTGGGTGGCTCCCTTGTTGGAACCGGCCTGCAGACCGATCATGGTCTGGCCGGCCTTCAGGACCTCCTCGGAGAAGTCACGCTTGCACTCATCAGCGGGCTTGGGGCCAAGGTAGGGACCGTTCCACTCGGGATGTCTGTAAGTCTGTAACCAAACATCAAACATTAAAGTCAGATCGCTTCAAAACCCAAGAATGTGTAAATCCGTTGTGCAACACTTAAATAACCCTTACTCGGCCTCAACATGACCACATGGCCTTGGATATTTATGAAAACCGAGGTAATGTTGCATGTTCGTAAATCTCTGTTGAACTTGGCGATTTTCCAACTCCTCAAATTCGAAACGTATCGCAAAACGAAATGGTGTGTGAACGCGTTGTTTTAAGTAGCTATCACGATTCTATTCCTGAAGTTATGCGATAAACGAATATGGATCGGATCAGTTATCGTAAATTTTATAATGTTTATAAAATCATAAAATGATCTTGCGTAATTTTAAAACAGATCCAGACTATTTATTATTTTACCACCTACACCAGGGAAGCGAACATCGTAACAATTATTCTTAGCCCGTTATTACGTCGTAACATCTAGGTATTATTTGTTTATATTATGACATAATTAATGGTAATTTTTATATAGATACTGACCTCACGGCCGAGGGCGTACAGTGTGCTGACGACCTGGGCAATGTCCTTCTTCTCCCAAAGGTCGACTGTTTGGAACACGTCGATGTCAGGGACTCCATATGCTTTGATTGCGGCCTGGAAGCTGTACAAAGAAACCATTGGTTGGTTAGATGTCACAATTTAAATGATAATAATACGTCTTCTGAGTAATCAGTTACGTCCTCATTGAAAAATGGCAACGGTTGGATGTTTTAGTCTCATTCTACAGATTAGTGTAATGGTCTTTACGAGTCTTCAGAATTTACAATCTCTATCTTGGCAGCAGACCTTGCTCATCTACAAAATGGTTCGTTTACATTATCACTACTAAACAGAACTATTAAAAATGTTATTTACTTGGTAATGTTCTCCATCATCTTGAACTGTCCACCAGAGGTGTTGATCTTGTTGACGGAGCCAGGCTTCAGCTTGTTGATGAGCTGGCAGAGGACTGTGCCGTCCTTGAGGACATCTTCGAACGCGTCGCTAGGGGGGAACTTGGCACCGAGGACGGTCTCGATCCACTCCTGGACCTCCTTCTCCTGGTCAGGGTTGCGCTTGGAAGCGAGCTGTGGAAGATTTAAGGGTTAAAGCACTATGTTCGAATCGAATGATAAAGCAGATTGTTTTAACGCTGCTTTTTTATTGGACATTTTCAAATATCAGTAATACGAAAACACTTTATGTATCTATCTTAAGGACTGAAAAGCTTTCGTTTTGGATGTCTAATAACTTCTAAATTTCAAAGAGCTTAAAAAATTTTTGAATGACTATTTAAAGAATACTAAGGTGAAATTAGTGAAGTGATTTCATGGCTAAACTTTGAGTTAACACAAAATTTGCTTTGACTAAACGTTTATTTAGAAGACCGTTATTATGAATATAAAAGTGTGTGTATATACCTTGGCGCGAACTTGGCGTTCCAGAGACATGTTGTGTGGTTTGCGTTGGCTGTGTGTGTGCACTGAAAGCTCTGTAAGACTGAACTCCTGAAAGCGGAGAGCACGTATTTATAGTGGCGCAGGTTCCGCCCTTCTGGAAAACTCGCGCGTTGCGCCCGCGCCGATGAGCGTTCGCGCAAAATAGGCTCTGACTCAACAACCTTTGTTGTTCCTACCACTTAAGTTTTCAGTGACATACATGTAATATTTCGCTAAAAATGCTAAAAAAAAGTCAATTTAAAATGGAGGCTGGCAATAGTTTCAAAATAACGATGTTACTTGACTTTTTAAAATTACCTTTTCGTCCATGATCCTTCCGATTCTTTGTCCCGTTTCTTATTCACACATGCACAATGCTCAAATAAAGCAGAAAAAGTACGAATGATTTAATCAATGATAAATTTCACTGAATGGTTCATTTTCGACCAACCAAAGACGTAGTACCTACCATCGAATACTTAAATTATTTAGGTAAACCTTTGTCGTTGCTGAACTATAAAAAAAAACTTTTTTTATCACAATACGAGTTTCTTGACATCATAATACGTGATGTTGTAGTAGGTAAAGTTTATTTTAATAAAAGGGTAATGACCAATGTTACAAGATAGCGAAATTAGATTCGGACATGCCACATAAAAAGAAGTGCTCTAATAAATCACGATGATGACTACATATTTCATTCACCCAACTGTACACGTGCCATTCAAATTCTCATTTTTCGGTGTTTGAAATATTGTTTTGCGTCAAACGGTCGGTCAATCAAGTACAAGTGCTGATTGAAATAATGAGTTCAGATTTCAGCACCTAACTGTTACTGTATTTGAGGGTACTAGGTTAACATTTGGTCATCACAATAATTTAATTTAATTGATGCATATTTAATTGATCTTTGGTAGAGCTGTTATGTATTTTACGAGAAAGTCTGATAAACTCGTAAGACGCTATGTGACACCAAAGGCACAGATAACATAATAGGTACCCCAACGATAAACATATTAAAATAATTTTGTATTATGCCAACACGATCTACAACGACAATAATTTAAATCTTAGACCCTTAGGCGAAGGTATTGAAACCCGTCCTTAATACTTATTCAATTACAGATGAACTTTTGAATTAGCGTGATTGGCAATAAAATTAATTAAAAAACTGCGTCATTAGTTTTTTGTGAAATAGACCTTATCCAGGAATCGAACCTGGAGATTTTGTAACAACTTAGATCATCACTATTCAATAGTATATTCTGCAGAGAGTGGACGTAAATACCCTCAGAAGTTGATAGCATATAAGTACAACTTAGTCTACAGTCATTACACTGAAAGCCAGTGAAGTATAGAGCCTTAGTAATGGATGTTCAGCCTTTGATAATAATGAAGTATTTTGTTTTAATTCCAGTTTACCCATTTAAGGACTACACGCGCCAAACGTGTGGCACGTTCCACCATTGACGTCACGGCTTGTAGTAGGTACCTACTCTTCGAACTCGGCGCCCTCCCACCACCCTCCAGTGAGTACCCGATGACTTATCATTGTCGCCGGTGCCCACGCCTGAGTGGACACGAATATAAAAAACACCTTGGTACTCTCAACCTTGAGTATTTCGGTCCAATGAAAAAACTGTGATTCATGGTAAATAAATAACTGCACTTCATAAGAAGCTATAAAACCTTGTCTTGATTTTAGTGAGTGGAATTTAGTCGTTAGAATATGAGACTTCTTTCATTTTACTTTCGTAGAATGCAGATACTTTGAAATTCTTATTTTAAAGCTTTTATCGTCAATGAAAGTTTAAATACCTACCTACTTTTATGAGCTTTCATAAAAAGACGTACTTTTCAGGGCATTTAAAGAACAGAGGTACTTACCTACCTACTTTGTTTTGATTACTAGTTCATATACCAACTTTCGTAGCAAACTTCAAACAAGTCACAAACAACTTCTAATGTTTCTCGTAAAAGCTCCTAAAATGCATGGGATTAGTCATAGACATTTCCGCATAGCGTGAGAAATTGAATTCCATAGATTCCGTTTATTAGAGACGTCGGCAGAGAAAGTTAAACACTGTAGCATTTTGCAATAACAAATAATATTACATTATAGCACCTGTACCAGTGCTTTAGTGGTGCAGAACACACTCGTTGCGTTATGAAACTAAAAGCGACGCGGTACGAGTAATAGCAAGTTATTGAAACGTTGTTGAAAAAACATCATAATAATATGTACAATCATAATGCTGTGTTGTAAAGGTACAAATCATAATTGAATTTCTCTAATACATTCTTCAAAAAAGGAAAACACTACGTTACGTACATAATAAACACTAAGTTTTATACCCAAAAGTTGAAAATGGCATATTTTTCTTAGTTCATTCTGATGTTAAATAATCCTAACATTATTAACTGTGTTTCAATGAAATCTTAAATACTATACATGAATGAAATATTCATTTTTCAAGTTTCTGAAACTTTCGTAGCACTACGGTGCCGCTACGAAAGCTCCTACTTGACTTGACTTGACTTGACTTATCTTTTTTGTGAGTATATTTTTCCATTGGGGTAATCGTGGATCTAATGCTATCTGAGAAAAATAAAATAAGTAAATCCCATTTATTATTCTCTTTATTAAAACACTCTTCGACAAATTCGTCAATTTAATTACATACACTCGGGTACAGTCACTATGCACTTATGTACAATGTCTTTCATTTATTACATATTTACAAAGTTGTCCCATGCCATTCCCGACAGTATTTATATTTAATAACTATTTTAAAATAACTAATAATCTTCATGTTTATTTAATTAAAAATACTGCGTGTCGTGCGATAACTTAAAATTATTTACTTGACTAAATAAAATACCATGACTAGAACTGATCAGACTGTTCAAAATCTACGTAAATACAAATAAATAATTATTAAACCTCTATTTAGTTTCAAAATTGGAATGGTTTGTTTACTTTCATCTAAATTTAAGTATACTTGATAAACGTATACAACGTTGGAAATATTATTTACATACATTAAATATCACACAAAGTTTTATTTTCCATTCATTTGACTAATATTTTTAATACTTAGTTAAATTACACTTATAAGTAGATTTACTTTAAGCTATACACCCTTGTCTGTGCAATCGCACATGAAACACATCATTACAATAGAGGCGAACCTAAAAATGATTTTCAACGTTCATTATTGTGTAATACGATTTAGTGGACACGTTTTGGCACTTGATAAACAATTTTCACTGTGTTCAGTCACTTTAAGCGTTTTTGTTTTCCTATTCGAAGGAAAGTTCGACAGCGTCCGACACGTGGAATGTCACATGGAATGCGAGGTCGAGTAGGGACGCGTGACCGCGAGCGGCGCTCCCGCGGACTCGGCGCGGTGGTGCGTGACTCAACGGGGCGACCTTACGCCCATTAGAAAAGATGGTTGTTCGTCTTAGCGAGGGTGCCCAGGTGGTCCGAGAGCAGATAGTTGGGCGGCGCCACTCCCAGGAGAGGGAACCCGGAGGGCTGGCGCAGCAACCCGCACCCGCCGGACCACTTGCCGCCGGCACCCGACACCGGAGGCATCCCTCCTCCGCCTCCGTTCAGCTCGTCACACAACTTATTCGCTGCAAAACAAAAAATACAACATTAGAACCTTTCCAATGCCGCTCTTTGTGGCAAAACCACTGGACATAACACTTAAATTGTTCGACGAGCTACAAAACTGCTGCATTAAGCACGCCAAACAATTGAAACTCCTGCATACAAATCTGCTCGGATATGAAATCAGACTGCAGCTCGACGGGCGAATATGAAATAATCGTGGTAACGCAATTAAGCGCTAATCACCTAATCCTTGCCGCGCGGCTCCGTTGTTTATTCAAGCCTGAGTGACAATCGCGCGCACAATTAGCGCAAATGAGCCGAAGTGAAAATCTGGCGGCGGCGGCTGCGGGGGGCGTAATGTGATTAATGCGCCCGCAAGTCCGCCATTAGCCGGTAAGCCGTGTTGTGCCATTGTGCCCACAGCCGTGCCCGCACTGATACGTTACAAAGTAACCGCAGTCTTAACACAAACTTGCAATATAATGTGCACCAATAAACACACCGTTCACACTCAAGCTCATTACTAACACTTCCTACATTTATGTTTTGTGCTACCGGTGTCAAGATAGTTTATGGTTTGTTAGAAGATTATGATTGGAAGTCAAAAGCTCTATATTGGGCCGAAAGCTTTCCATAGGAAGGAAGCAACACTTTTAGCACGTGCACTACTGTAGACTTTAAAAAGGCACAAACGCTTAAATTCTTTGGAATAACAACCGTGAAGTTGATCGATTTCCCGAAGTTTGTTCAGGTAGACAATAAAAAAGCTTTTTATTCCGTAGTATGAAAAGCTTTCCTAAATCTTTGATCTTGTAGCGAAACTGCCTACTTATTTACGTAAAGCGCGTGACCCGCTATCGTCAAAGTGTCCATGATGAAGATGCTATATTTAATGTAGGTACACTTATTCGGTGTGACTTGTTTATCTCATCAAAATCCTTGTTATGTTCGCCCACGCAAACCTGGGCACTAAAATAGTACAATCGGGTTGCCGATTGGTCGGATATTTTGTGCGGGTGAGTCATTCGGCTAAATTTCGGCAATCAATGTAAGAGAGATTTGGTGAATACTCGTATGTGCTAAAAATAGTCATGATATCGTGCTGGAGTAAAAATATCGCAACGGAATTTCACGCGTTTAACGAAACATTTTCCGCGCGGCGTGCCTGTGTGTATTGGTAACGCGGTAATTAACTTCTGCACCATCAAACAGCCTTGCTGTTTATACTTCTGGAATCGTTGGAATTGGAATTAGTGATTACATTCTCATTTCCAGCTAGTCTGTAGAGTGAAGCTTAAATAAATATACAGGGTGTAAAAAATGGTTGTTAAAAGCTTGTAAAGACTTGTTAATATATCCGAAGTAGGTATTAACAAGTCTTCCAAAAGGAGTAGACTCCATTCTATGCTCAAAACCACAGGAATCGCGGCGGAGGCGTGTCATATTTTTTTTTTTTTTTTTTTTTTTTTGGTCGATAGTGACGCCCAGATATTTGACTTCCGTGGAAAACTCGATCTCTTTTCCATTTAGAGAGGGTTTGACTAGTTTGTTCAACTGTCTACGCCTGGTAAATGGAATAATGACAGTTTTATCAGCGTTAACTGATAAACTGTTTCTTTTGCACCACCCACCTATGGTGTTTAGCGCTCTTTGCATTATGGAAGATATTGTACTTTGGCAGAAGCCCCTTACTATGACAACAAGGTCGTCAGCGTACCCTTGAGTGTCAATGTTGAGGTCGGCCATTTTATACAGTAGTGTATCAACCGCCAGAGTCCAGAGAAGGGGCGAAAGCACGCCCCCTTGCGGGCATCCTCTGGTGGTTGTAACTTCCATAGTGGTTTGAAGCAGAGATACCTTAGCTCTCCTGTTGGAGAGCATCGACTCCACCCATCTCGTGGTCGTCAGGTCAAGGCTTTTTGCAACCAGACCTTCGACCAGCAGTGTAGTAGGAGTGTTGTCAAAAGCTCCCTCTATGTCTAGAAATGCGCAAAGCGCGATTTCCTTGTCTTCCAGTGCCTTTTCGACCCTGTCAATCAGGCTGATCAGGGCTGTTTCCGTAGATTTACCTCTGCGGTAGGCATGCTGTGTGTGGTGAATAGGTTTCGTTTTTCATTTTTTTTTGTGTCATATTTTACCTTAGCAACATGTTGTTTTCATTGTTATGACATAACGACAACCGAATTTGTTTTATTAATTTAAACAGTTAACGAAACAGGCTGTATACAAATCTACATATTAATGTTTACAAACAAATAATTACCATAAATATTTGTAAGTGTTAAGTGTCGTTAATAATGGAGTTGTTCGGAGGTGGTATATGCACTAGGAATAGCATCAGTTTTAGGTAAATAATTTAAGATTAAATTCAGTCAGGCTCATACTTTAATGTAGAGGTAGAGACTTATTGCAATACGAATATGTTCGTATATTCTTGAGTCAAATATTAACAAAACCGCTATCATCATTGTTTCTTACTCGGCAGAAGAAACATTTAGGTGTTTTTAATTTTTAAAACTTATTTTCTAACTTTTTTTTAATAGTCTGTAGCCGTTAGAGTTTTAAACATGAAAGAAGACGCCATTAATTAGACAGTTGTCACCAATTAGCGTGGGTCGACATTTGCAAAAAACCAGTATTCTGACGAAAAGGAAAAAGTGTAATTTTTCATTGTACTCGTCATACTACAACCAAAATAATCGGGCGAAAATAGACGTTGCCTCACACGAGCGGCGTATCAACAAGTTTAAAACTGACGAAAGTTTCGCTTCGATAATACTCTCGCCACCTCTTTACATGTTTCAGTGTTACATGTATAGATTTTACTACGTCTCTTATTGTAACATTATACCGGATGACTTCAATGATAAATTCTACCTTCTATTTAAGAGCGTTGTCACATTTTTCATGCAGAAATCGAGAATTTGGCAGATTTCGAAATGATTTTAGTCATATAATTTATTGTTATAGCTTCTTTTGACTTATATCATCGTAATTATCATACGTTTTTACGGAATGTCTATTGACAAAATCTCGTTCAAATTGGATGTTTGCCTACGAAAACAGCGAATTTCGAAAGCCCGATTTCTAGGTAACTCGCGAAGGCACAACTTTGAACTAATATTACAACAAATTTATTTCTAAGTAAGAAGATAGAATGTATTCATTAGAATAACTTATTACTTTACTCAATTTAAAGATTAAAAACTTGTCGCGGGATTTACTAGTGTAAAAAATACATTAATTACGTAACTTGATTTTGCTAAAAGTCTGATCTGAGAATAAATCAAATAGGTAAATTATACATTATTTCTTTATTATTATGTATGATGTACTGTCTTAGGTACGATACAACTACGGATTAAGATCGTTTAGTCGACGCAGCGTTGAAATTGTACAGATAAATGCAGTTTGCGCACTCACTGCGCGACGTCAAGCAATAAAAACCTAAAATTCGAACGCCAACTTTTTGCTACAACGCTCTTAAGTGGGTCAATACATTCTCTTTCAAAGCTTCGAAACGTCTTTCAGATGTTTTTCTGTAACGCACGAGTGACGCACGTATCATTCACTTCAGCATCTTTTATTCATCCTTTAACTTACTTCAAGTATTTACTTATTAACATCGTTATTAATTGGAATTAGGTACATGACATAAAAATGTTGGCACGATTACTTCGCTGATTAAAATACTGCTCTTATTTGGGCGTCGTTATTTATCAAAACTTTGTTTTACACTATTATCGTAGAAAACTGTGTGAAAACACCTGTATGTAAACTATGTGTAAGATATTTGGAAAACATAATAACTAATAAGCTAATGTTCAAGGTCCCGTGCCCGATATCTGTGAGAGAGTCGTTCGCCAGCGCCTACCTGCCCACCGCGCCTTATTTTAATCGTAAAATTAGAAATGCGCGCCGAATATTTTATCACGCACTTACTGCAATTTATGGGTGCGCTGCTTGATTTTATTGTAACCACTTATTTATACGTTACTCTAAATACGCTATAGATGAAACGGCTAACTATTTCGATGATATTTATTTTTCAAAACACTTTTAATTTTATTTTTATAGTCAGACTACTGAGAACTGTAAATAGTTGCTACAATTCTACGAGTGCTACGAGGCAATTAAATGATGTTATCGTGCCCTAATTTGTCAATATTTCGCAAGAAGAAGAGATGCTGTATATTTATAAGACTGGCGAAGTCGACTCGAGATGGCTCGAGCTTTGCGTTCGTTACGTTTTCATGGATTCAGACTGCACGGCGAACATGCGTCCGATTGTGAACAAGAAAGTGCACTGATTGGGCCCATACACGTGTACCTACATCTGATAGGCTTTTAATGTAAGGTAAACAAAGCAGAAAGGAAACAGAATTTAAAGAAGGTGAAATAGAGTGTTTCCAAATGAGCCGGCTATACAAGAATCTAATTGGAAACTTATATTCGCTGCCACAAAAACTAGGACTTCTCATGTTTATTACCTGTTGAAGTGATAGGCTTCAAGTCGGTCGGGGATAGGTGCGGCAGCGCGTGGTGCGCGGGCTGCGGCGCGGGCGCCGGCGCGGGGTGCGGGGACGACGCGGGGGACGCGGGCTTGTCGCGTTTGCCCTCCGCCTTCACAGGGGCCTCACCCGCCTTCTGCTGCGCGAGGCGCTCCTGCTTGCGGAACTTGGCCCGCCTGTTCTGGAACCACACCTGGAAAACAAAAGAACAACCGTATTTGAAATAGATTAGAGCAACTTGATGAAGACGAGGGCTCGAGAAGATCAGTTATTTAACAGTCATTTGTTTTAGCTATGAGTAACTCGCGTCAAAATATCCTAAACATAGGATGTAAAATACTTCGCAACGAATGATACATTACTTTGGAGACTACTATTCCATTTTACATGAAAGCTTTAACGTCCCAATAACACTATAGTTACTTTGCTGTAAGTAATAAATTTGAATAAAATATCACAAAATAACGTCGAATGTAATGGCTCCACCCATTAATTTTCCTTGAATTTGACAGACCGACCTCCCACCAAAACAATTCCCACTATTTTCGTTGCGACCGTGATTTATCAGCGTACATTCAAAATGAAATATTTTATACTCAAATTAAAATCTGTAAGCCAATGATGCGAAAGGCATCGTAAACAAAGCTGGAAACAACAAAAAAGGTAATGAAACACAAGCGCACACGGGCTCGAGTGGACAAACAAAGCGCTCGACCCGACTAATGGGAACGCATCCCGTGCATCGCGCGCCAAATTTTAATGCAAACCGTTTTATATTCGTTCGAATGCGCGCAAATCCGAATTGATCATAATTCGATTTGGTGCGAGAGATAATTGCAACTGCCACTGGCGCTGATTGGGCAGTTGCGAGTAAAAAATGCGTCGCAGGTATGGGCGGGCGGCCGGCACAATCATACGCACGCTCTATTTACTCATCGCGGCGCGCTCTGATGATGTTTGCTCACCTTTATGCTCCTTCATTTGCATGCTTGTGACCCGAAACAAATGAAATGCTAAGTATGCATGAATACAACGTACTAATAAACTACCAGAGCTTAATAAAGTTTACGGCTCTGACGCTTGAGTTTCAGAAGAATACCTACTTTTTATTTGAAAATATTTCAAGTAGTTTTGTGTGAGCCAGTGGCATTCCATCAATGTTTAGTGACCTTTGGCTTAGTTCATAATTGGGTGCATGACTAAAAAGACAAACGACCATATTTACAGGCTCGTGTTCATACAAATTATCATTAATTTGTTATAGCGAAATAGAATGTACGTGGGCCAATTCAAATAAATAAAGCCGTCTCCAGCCCACTGAATACATAGTTGTATGTACAATACATAATGCTGGACGCCTACAGAAGTCTGCGCAAATTCGCCTTGGCAATGATCATGACAAACGTTAATGACCTACTGGCGTTCTAGAAAGATTCCGAGGTTTATTAATGGTGCTACAAGACAGGCGGTTGAAACACCATTATTGGTTCTGAAACTAGAATGTCCACACACTAAAAATACCTACTTAGTAATCGGTGTGCAAGCTAATCAAATTATTTCGTCATCAACGGTGACGTCTTTGTGGTCCAGTTGTTAAGGTTGGTGCTCTCAGGAGCCTTAATTTAATTTTATCTAAGTAATCTATATGCGTTCGTAACATCAAAGATAATTTAGTTTATTATTTAAAACGTTTGTTGCACTGATCTAAAAATGTAGAGTCGCTGTCTTTAAAGACAAAGTTGACTCTGAATTACCAACTTTAAGCATTTCAAGTTGGTAAAAATTCATTGCAAGTTTTTGTATCAATGATATTGAATTTAATATCGATGGTAATATGTCTGTTTACTTTACAATGTAAATTAAATAAAAGCTTCTAAAGATATTATGACTGATGTGGTTTGCTACCACTGTCATTTCCGCATAGTCACAAAACAAATCCTTGCATGCTGTCTATATTTACCGCGTCATAATTTGTGCAGCAGTCAGTGGTCATGACATTGAGGCGCAAGATATATGGCAATGCTGCACTCACGTCAGCCGTATGTCAGCGCGTGCGCAGCTGTGCTTTGTAGCCTGGAGGCCCACGCATCGACATGCATCATATACGGATTCGGATCGAAATACTCGTGCGAAAGTCGTAAAACATTTTTTTTTTAATTTAACAAAGAGAAAACATCAAAGACTTTTTATTTTGTTCAAGATTCGCAGTCACAGACGTTTTATTATAATTTAAAGGCTACATAACATGTAAATATGTGCTTAAAGTATAAATTACACACATATTTTGTTTAACTAAAAAATGATTGAAAGCTTTACTAAGTTTGGGGTATGGTGATAAAGTTGTACCTATCTACTAAACTAAGTATTTACGAGTAGTCATTTAAATTACTATTCTTAGTAATATTTTCAATTCGTCTTACGCATAGACACTATTGTTATTTTTCGAGAATTAATTAATTCAGTAGTCAATTCATAATTCTTCCAATATTAGAGCGACGACCTTCTTCTGAACACGTTCCCGTGTTCCCATCCCAGTGAACTTAAACATCACCTCAAATATGACAGCCTGACGAGCCATTACCGACACTTGATACCAATTATATCGCTAATGGACGCGGAATGGTCCAAATATCCCACACGCGGAATGTGTCGTCAACATAAATCATTATGATTTAATTTGCCATTAACTCACGTGACGAGGTGCTCAGCATCATTAGCAGCATGTAGCTTTACAACACCTAAAATTGTAACATGAGTTATTCCCACTATTACCACAAATCTTCTATTTAAATCGTTGTCAACAAATACTCGTTTACGAGTACTACGAAATTGCGATGAAACATGACTATCAATATAAGTTATAGGCATTAGTTAGGCAAATAGTTTTAGCAGTAAAAACTAGAAATACACCTCCTTCATTTCCTGTATGCACCGCTGATAAAAATTACAGCATACATAGTTTTTCTTTTCAGTAGGTAGATACTGTACCAATCTATTCGTCGAAGGTTATTATTAGCTCATACCTACTATTTTCTTTTGTCGGTAATTAAGTAGGGGTTTATTAAGCTAGACCACATTGTTTTAAATACAGACTCTTAACAAAAATATTGAAGATCAAAGAGAAGAGAATCGTAAGTAAACAAAACCCGTTGTCTCTATGAGCGTATTCGAGATACATTTGTTCTTCAAATCAAGCGGAAGATTGCTGAAGTTCATAATTCTGTTGGATCCTATCTAAGAGAAAATCAGTGCTTCCGAGTGGAAAGGTCCCACGTACGTGCCCGGGTAACCAAGCGGCAAGCTCGTCGCGACTAACGAACACGCCAATTCGCTTGATTGGCGCTCGCGATCGCTCCGGCCCGGCCGGTCGCCCGATGCCCCGGGCTCCACGCCTTCCGCATTATTTCCGAATTGGAAAAAATCAAAGCGTATGCGGCATCCGCAAACAAACAAATAATACAAGAACCGCCGCCAATACAAATGAGAACCGATACGACGGCGAGCGGAATGCGAAGTCGACGAAGCCGAGCGTGGGCCCGAGGCAAATAAACGATGCGATGTTTATCGAATGTGTGGCTTGCTTCTCGTAAATATTTCGTCAAATTTTCCTTGCGGCGACCGATTTCGGTTCGGCTCTCCAGCCGTGACATTCCGATTTGATGATCTATTTTAGTGGAATCGTAAATGAATGGTGTTCGATAGTTGCACATGAATGTGCAGGCGGAATGTCAATAATAAATAACGGGTGGGCAATTAAGCGCAGGGTCGGAACAATTGAGCGTGGCATCGAAATGCACTTTGCAAATGAACCGAATGGCCTCCGGAGCGAGGGCGGGCGGGGGCGGGGGCGCTTCGACAAATGTAATTAAACACGAGATGCACGCGCTCCGCAGATGCCATCTCAGATGGATCCATCAGATAACGTACCTACTCTAATTGGACAATGATTTATTAACAACTCTTTTAAACTTTATTATTTTATCTCTATTTCAGAATAAGTTGTATAAACTTGAAAAACGTTTAGGTACTTGAATAATGTGTAACTTATAACTTTACAGAGTCAAAAGTTCCATGGAGTCTAAAATCATATCAATTTTCTATTTGCATTAATGTTACTAAATCTCGGGACATTTTCCAGATAATACTGAAATCTTAATTGATTTTAGGATCCGTTTTTTTAATTTGACAACGGTGAAGGTGGTAAAAATATTTAGACATAGTTTAAGGAATGCCCTAAATAAATACTGTTTTTAAATCTCGTTACAATGAATCGCCCTTAATTTAACAGTATGTCTGACAGAAGGTGGTCTATACAATCGTCATAAGGGGTACTTTAATAGAGTTCCCTCGGCAAACAGCGACAACAATGGCTGGGTATTAAAATAAACAGAGCGACGTAGCCATGTGGCGCTGGCGCGGCAAACACCAACACGGCTAATGTATTCAGCGGGTAGCTCAACCTTACTTGGGACAGGGCTACCGACAGACTGATAAGTATTTGGCTAAATAAAACAAAATACAATTTTACCGTAAATAATAGAGACTACATTTCTAAGAGCCAAGACAGTTGGATTTCTACGAATAGAGTCTATTTTTTCGAGCATACATCTGTGATTGTTATTTCTTGTAAAAGGTGAATCTATATTAAAATACTACAACATCAGATATAGTCATTAAACGAAAAGTGTAAGTATGAAATTATAAAGATGTCAATATACCAACACATTCATTTATACCTACTACGATCACACACCAAAATCCCTATTCAACTAGAGTCTATTTTTTCAGCATACATCTATGGTTGTTATTGCTTGTAAATGTTGAATCTATATTAAAATACTACAACATCAGATATAGTTTTAAACGAAAAGTGTAAGTATGAAATTATAAAGATTTGAATGTACCAACACATTCGTTATACCTACTACGATTACACACCAAAATCCCTATTCAACTGTATTATTTGTTCTTGATTTTTATTTACAAAAATGAAGAACGTACCTACTTATCTTTAATAAAATTTCAGCATTAAAATTCCATAGAGCACTTGGCGAGCAAATGGAAAAAAAATCTGTTCTAAAAATATCCCACAATTTTATTTTTATTTTATTTCTGAAATAATATTACTATTGTATATTTGAACTCGCAGTTTTCAACCCTAGCTTCGATACAGCGGCCGCGTTGACTCCACTCGGCGATTTTACAACTTTGACTTTGGCTTTCTAATGAACGTAGCAAAACTAAAACACGAGGATGCACCCGCTGACGTTCTACTCCTAATTAAACATTTATATCGCTTTGTACAACAGACTTGCTATCCTGAGTCATTTTTCATCAAATTAGCTTAGGGGAGTGTCATGTGTTGAGCCTATTATTTAGCGCTTCACCATAAAAAATGTTTAGTGCAAATCAAACGTAGCGGAAACTAGAGGGTTTGTCCGGTGCTTTCATGGATTAACTTATGATCCATTCAGAAGTGTTATAAGTATGCGGAGTTCATGAATACTGACTATCATTTTAATGGCGTGACAAGTGAATAACATTTGCGTTGTATTTATTAATGTGATAAAAAGCGAAGGGTTTGTACATTGAAAACTGAAATAGAAATACACCATTTAAACGAAAAAGAAACTAAAATTTATAAAAGGCGTCCCAATTTTCTGAGTCCAACCAAATCTCCAGTTTGCGAGTCGTACCTAATTAATTTTGTACACCTTAAATCCCAGCTGCCAAAAACTCTATATTTGCGCTGTCAACTAGCGCTATGTACATAGGGCGGGTCGTCTTTATTTGACACGTCAGAGGGCGGCCCTCGAGGCGTATGAAAAACGTACAGCCGCGCGGAATGATCTAATTGTATTCATTAGCCTGCCAGGGCCGGCAAATATTGACGCTTGCCGCACCTCGCCTCGGGCCGCCGCACGGCTGGAGGCTGTCGGAACTAACACTGCAGCTATGTACGATTGTTCCCGTAGCTATTGAGGTCAAGATATAACAGATTCTAGTTGTATTTCTGTGGTTAGGTACACCCGAGATATGATTCACAGAATAGAGGAAGTTTGTAAAGAAAACCCTTTAACAATAATTAATGGCTTAAAAGTTTTCGAAATATTATTTACCTACTAGGTACAACATCAGTCCTAACCTGTATCATACGTACTTAGGTACTACAAACTTACATTATCATTATATTTTTAACAAAATATACTGAATGAATAGTAGTACGTATGTATATTAAATAAAAGAAATAAAGTCACCCAAACCCAAACCCATACTCAAAACAAAATACGAATTGATATACCGAAACTGCTAAACGATCGCCTACAAGAAACGAACTTAAATCAATCTTTGGCGTGGCCGACAAACGCGATCAAACACCGCGAACACACCCCTATGTTTATACTCAGCGGATGAAAAGGCAACTCCGAACGGCCCGGAATAATATTAGCTACCCTCAATAATCCGGCCAATTCTATCGCCTTCGCCGCGACACAAAAAACGCGCCTCAAAACATCTGATAATAGAGTTCAAAACGGTACGGGAATAAATGATAAGCTACGTCGTTTAGCAACTGCTATATTTTTTTTACTAACTGGTAACATGTGTTAACATTTGCTGATAATCCTGGATTAACACATCATAATAAAGAGATGAATGCATCGTTTATTCAAGCCGTATGTCGGCACCGAGTATTCGACAGCGTTTATGATGACAGGTGTGCTGACGCAACTCATCTTATTTGATTGGCTTGTGTAAACAAAACAACAACTAAATATAATATGAAACAAATGACAGAGCTACGCTGTGCGTTGCAGAATTTTTAGGTATCCTTCCGTTTGGCCAAATTACTTTTCGCCAAATTTCACTTCGCAAACAACTTATCGCCAAAGTTTCATTTCCCAAATGAACTTTTAGCAAATGTACTTTTCGCAACTATTTCATTTGGTCAAATTATCATTTGGTTAAATTTTACTTGGCAAATGTTTATATAGCAAATGTTTTATTTTGCCAAATATTATATCCCAAATAATTTATTTGGTCAAATTGACACTTCACATGCTTACCCACCGTTACCCACAAATCAAAGCACAAGGCAAATGATCATGGTTTTCACAAGAATTTTATGTAAAACAAAGAGATTGCAGAAAATAGTATGGATGCGAAAGTAGGTTTTGCAGAAAATAGTAGGTTAGGTTAGGTTAGAACAGTGACCCTTAACGCGCAAAGGCGAGCGAAGCGTGCCGCGGCAGCGGCCGCCGAGCGCTAGAATCACCTCTATTGTTAATTAATCATTTAGTTTCGATAAAAATAATGAAATATGAAAATAAATTTATAACAAATTTTATATTTAACTACCCACTACACAAAATAATAACCACAAGCTAATTTGTATTCCATTCTATGCACCAATCAAATTATTTTGTAAATAATTTATCGTGAAATATTTTTGCCAAATGAAACATTTGGCAAAACATACTTTGCCAAACAATAATTTGCTAAACAATAATATGCCAAAAAAGACATTTGCGAATTTAAAGTTTGCAATAAGTTGTTTTGCCAAATGAGAATTTGCCAAATGAAAATTTGCGAAACGTTGTTTGCCATGTGATAATTTGGGAAACGTTTTTTGGCCAAACATTAGTAATCCGAATTTTTAAGCTTAAAATGCAGGACCTATAAGACAAAATCACAAAAAGTTAAACACAATTTTTTATCTTTGCAAGAAAAATTTTATCAGTGACTGAATTGAACCAAATTAATTATACGCAATGAGCTTTTATGATTACTTCAGCAGTAAAGTTTACTAATAAAAAGTTTGAACAGTGAATTAGTGAATCGGCTAAATATTTCATAATACAAAATTGTCATTTTGTATGATTTTAAATTTTATGATAGTCAAAAATATAATTTAAAACAGACCCTCTGGGGTCCAAGTCTAATAGTGATTTCATTGGAGTTTATCCCTTTATCATGAAAGGACATTGGATTGTCGATGACACTGATGAATAAAAAAATAGTGCGAATTCTGGGCGTAACAGATGCGTTCATAGCCTTACGCTCGATTACACTACAGCAGCCTCCCCTTCCCTCACTGTGATCATAAATAAACACGATAGAACTAGTGCTAATGATGGCTCGCAAATGATTTTACGATTTACTCGACTATATTAATAACTTGTTTACGGAAAATGCTTGTCATTTCTGGTAAAATACGACATTCGGTTTGGCGGCTACGTGTGTGTAGCAACAAATAGAGCTAACAAGGACTCGATTAATCATCTGTATCGATATTGAAGTGCTTTCAATTTTAATTAAAAATAGGACAGATTTGAACCGATTTGACGAATCACCGTGAATGCGCACGCGTCTTCCGCGTGACAATGCAGCGCAATCAGCAATCGCGCACGCGACACGACAAATCGCCGATAGCGATCGGCAGATGTTCTAACACAATAGCTCTACCTCGACTTGCTGACCGGGTACATTTTACTAATGTTCCTGTCAGTTTCGAAATTAATTACTTCTGTCTAACTTTGTATCAATAAGTAGAAGTTAGTTAAATCATTGTAATTTAAAGAGCCTTTTCTAAAATAAATAATTCTTAACTCATACACAGTTTACGAGAATAGAACCAATTATTTGGTAATAAATTAAAAGGACTATTTAGTCAATGCACAATGTAGGTATTTCGTGGTTGCAGATAAGAACTGTAACTCGTTATCTGCCGCTATACTGCTCTACATAAAACATCAAAATATTGCCGTCCATTTGAAAAATCAAAAGCTGCACTATCATGAAAGAGCAGGAACATTAAATGCGAAAATCTATTTCAGCTACGGTCCATCTACAAATCAGATTCCCCATTCCCTCGCCGCAAGTGCGACAACGGAGGATCGGTTATGATATTCATATATCGCGCTCGCGTGATAGTTTCTGACGGGTCGCCTATGCTCCCCGACGGGCCGCCTCTATGGAACAAAGATGAACTTGCATTTTCGAATATAATGGACGAACTTTTTCTGTTTCCTCGTAGCTATGTAGCGAATTTTCACATTTCGTTTTGGATTTGGAATTTGAACAGATTTATTTATTGCGATGTGCTTTTTGCGTTTGACATAAGTAATATTGGGTCACGTAAACATTAAATGGCTATTTCTCATCGCCACGGTTCTCATCGTCACCTTCGTGGCGAATTTTATTTCTAACTTATTTCAACTTTTTGTAAACAAAAATTGTAGCGCNGGGCTCGTCTTTTTCGTAACGCCAGTGGGCGCGTGGGGAGCATTTTGCCGCTCCTTTGTATAGCAATTATGTTTCGGCAATATATATTGCTGTATAATATATCATATAGGTGTGTGCAATGTTCATGTGTTCAGCAGTGGACTTCCTATGGCTGAAATGATAATAATGATGAAGTAAATAAAATGTTAAATAGTGTCATAAAATCTGCTATTTTTTTATTTTTCAATATAATCACGTGATAATTTCAAATTCTTTGATTTAAATATTTTTTTAACCTTTACAACAAATAAAAAAATAAATACACTACAAAGTAAGGTCTAATTTATGAGACAAATTTTTACTTACATGAGTGGGCGCACGGTGAGAAAATTGCCGCGTGGCGTAACCTGACGGTAAGAAACTCATCCTCAAAAGGCCATTCATGCACTGATTGTTGATGCAATTGTTTAATGATAAATGTAAATGTTATTTTTTAAGTTTTTGCAACGCCTTCACTGGGCGTCACATGTACAAAATTATGTTCTACCAACCCTTACGAATGTGACATGCAATAAATAATTTGAATTTGGCGGCGTTTAGCTTTTCAGAATGAGTTAGGAACGAACGTAGGGGCAGCTACTAAAAGCTCACACTTAGAGGGCAATTTATTGCTTTACGAATTATTAACACTTTTTTGCAAAGGGCGGCAAAATGCTCATAGCGCGCCCATTCTAGGGCTAACTATCAGCCAATCTACTTTTATAAAATAAAGTAGTTAATTACAGAACTAACACAAAATTACTGTCGCTAGCTCAATTAATTTTATTTATTGTAATTGCGGATTTATACCACCAGAACTTAAATGTAGAGTCCGGAGCTCATTTTAACCTAAAATAAATTGAATTTAAATGTAACTTGACATTATTATTTTATTTAGTCCTTCACCGATGAGCAAAAGGAGAAGTTGAAGAAGCACAAGTCAGAATGCCTATCGGAGACGAAGGTGGAAGAGGCGTTGGTGAACAAGGTGAAGACTGGTGATTACAAGGTAAGGCAATATTACAGATGCACACATTTTCTGTAACTGTAAGTCTAGGCGCTGTGGTCTAGTGGTAAGACCACCTGCTTCAGATGCAGAGGTCCCGGGTTCGATTCACAGTGGGGGCAGATTTTTCTGTTCGGTTTGGTTGGTGGTAGGGCTTGTTCTAAGTCCGCCTGGCTAGCTACCATCTTACCTAAGTCTGTCGCCATAGCAACAATGTTAACAGCATTATTGTGTTCCGGCAGTTAGAGGTAAGATAGCCAGTTCCTCCGTGGTTGAGGATTCCGGGTGAAGCTCGCTTCCACCTTGCCTGATCGTCACTTACCATCAGGTGAGATACAGGCCAAGAGCTTCCTCATTGTGTATAAAAAAAAGACCATCGATTTTTTGTTGGCCGATAGTTGGGCCCGTTTTTAATTTGTATGAAGAATCGTCCAAATCAAATCGGTGTAATGTGCGCACTTCCATACATGCCCATACTGATCAACTGCCCGACTAAACTATGGGCCGACAAGACATCGATGGTCTGCGCATAGGCTAAAAACCTGTTTCTATATGTACGCGTATGATAGAGTGTACTTATTATGCTTGCGGCTTACACAGTTTTCGTATAGGTACTGCTTTAATCCTTTCTATAACGATAGAAGTTACGTAAAATTGAAACGTAAGAAAATACATTTAGGTAAGTAACTCTTTACTGATGGTTGGATGCAGGCCGCTGCCAATCGGCCAATTTGGAGATTATCGGGGGATGCCTGTGGCTGATATGATGATGACCTCTTATTGTTGCAGACCGAAAACGATGCCCTGAAGAAGTACGCCCTCTGCATGATGATCAAGTCAGAGCTGATGACCAAGGAGGGCAAGTTCAAGAAGGACGTCGCTCTGGCTAAAGTTCCTAACCCAGGTATGTATTTATCTATTACTGTAGGTTACGTTAGCTCCAACGTTGGTCCAACAGTGTGGATTTAGAAAATACCTTGTTCCAACGCTAGTGCCAATACTTTTTTCTGGGTTCATACGTTGGACGTGTGGCGTTGGGTTAATAGCTTACACAGACAAGAATATCAAGCTGATGAGAATAAGAATGGCATCTAATAAGGTTGAAATAGATGTTATTTTGCGACAAATATTTGGTCTGAAAATTTGCTAAACAAGCAGTGACTGTAGCATCTTTAAGTAGGTAGTTGTATACGTGATATTTTATTTTGAAACATAAGTCTGATGTACTGACATAGATTTACACAAATAAAGACTGTAATTAAAACAGGTTCTGATGGTGTTAGTGAAGTTACTAAAGGTATCGCTTCGAATCTACCTGATGCACCATATCGACTTAATAGTTATAACTTCGTAATAATGCAATTTGACTACCCTGCATTTGTATACGATCGATACGAGCTTGAATAAGGGCATAATGTTTCAACTCTGTATCTTAGTGGCATAAGAGGCAATATTTTTGAACATACTTTTATTAAGAACGACATATTGTGGTAAACTGATATGCTGTAGATGGTACATGGAATCGATTTAAACTCGAATTATAATCGGTCTTTGTTCTCGGACTTGTAATCGATGCAAAGCGCAAACGCTATTTTTATCCTGTTAGATAAAAAATCTAACAGTTGAATGTTGCAGACACGATCTTTTTTTTCACTTCGTTATCAAGGAAAAATCAAGCAAAATAGGTATTTAAAAGTAAATTATTATCAGCCCAAAAATGTTTGAACACTTATTGGAACTCATATTATTTTGCTACTGGTATCTTAAGTCATTGACTGCCAAGACACTAGACACATTGTTCGAGGTTCACCTTGTAAGGCTCTCGGCGTCCAACGTATTAACTAAGAGAATCATTGAAAAATTGAATTTAATATTATTGAGTGTTAATAAATCACCTATAATATTTTCCACAGCTGACAAACCAGCGGTAGAGAAGGTGATCGACGCCTGCCTAGCCAACAAAGGGAACACCCCCCACCAGACGGCCTGGAACTACGTCAAGTGCTACTACGAAAAGGACCCCAAACACGCCATTTTGACCCAATAAGAGCTCCAAATAGAGTATCTTTTTGCTCAAGCTGTCTTCAAGATTGGTGATCCATGGCCAATGTCATTTGTTCCTATACTAGTCAGTTGATTGATAGTGACATCAACAGTGACCTACGAATCGGTCAAGTCAGTTATGACCCCAAACTGACACTTAGCTTGAGCAATTGAGATAACCTGTTTATTGAAAGGCAAATACTTTGGTTCATCATCATTGGCTTTAGCTATCAAAGTATCAACATCATCTAAGAACATCAATTTGTAACCTTTATTTTCAAAAACCATGTCATAAGTACATGTTCTATTTCTACTAAATTCATCGTCAAATTAAATACAGGGAACAATTTGGTTGTAAAATCTTTATCAATACGGTGACTGCCCAAGCGAATTTATTAATTAGAGAAATAAACAGTGGAATTATAGTTTTGGGTTTTATTTCCCCATTTATGACAAAATTAAGAAGAAGAAAAATACTGGTTTTTATTTCCCCATTTATAGACCGAGTTTTGATTAAATAATTCTTAAATGAAGATACCTAAATACACGATACACGTCACATCGAGAATTTGAAGTCACTATTAGGCCATACACATTAAGCCTTTAGTTAAGCACCAACTTTTAGTTGGCCGATAGTTGGGTCGGGCTGTTAATCAGTATGGAGAATGGAGATGTATGAAAGTGTGCACACTATAAATACCGATTTGCTATCGGCCAATTCTTCATATAAATTAGAATCGGGCCCAACTATCGGTTAACTAAAATCCTTGGTCTGCGCCTAGTCTAAACACTGGATTGCTTCTACTCGTAGAACTTACGTAGCTAGAATGCAGCGGAAACAACAAGTTAAACTCGTTTATCTCATTGAGAACAAAAGAACATAAATTATTTCATCTAACCTAGTAAAATCTATTACAACTCCTCCTACCTATAGACTCACATTTAATCACTGTGTTTAAAGTAAAATCGTCTTTTTAAAGAACAATAAAATAATACTATTAGGACCGTCACCCTTTAGGTCTATTATTCAAATGCCGACTAAACCCAGCGATTTTTCTATTTATCTATATTTCATAAGAAAACACTATTGTGAGGAGAATTTAAGATTTGGTAAACAAAGCGCTTTTTGCTCTAACCTTTTGAATTAAAACAATGATCCTGACGTAATTATTAGAAAAACACACAATAATAGGCTNCATAGGCTCCTTGCACAGTAAACTACAAATCGTCAAAGAAAACCAAAAATGTAATAAAAAGCAAAACCAAGTTAAATTGTCGCTTGTTTACAACGTCCCTTAAAAGTTAATAATTTACAATAGAATAGTGTTCTAAATAAATTGTATTCTATTAAGAATAATAATTAAAAAAACTTAACACAATTAAAATAGCTTTCTTTGAGTATCCTGTGCCAACAAATTTTGGTAGAGTCACAAAATAACAATAACGTCAGCAAAATATTAGTCATAGACAAGACATAGGCCTCCTTCAAATAAGTAGGGTGATAACGACATTAAAATAAATAGAGATAAAATAACCTCCTCCTTTTTTGAAGTCGGTTAAAAATACAGATAAAATACAAATACCTAAGATATTACTGGATATTATAATTATGAACTAATCAACCACTTTTTTTCAAACAGTGTACCTACACAAGAATTTGAGAGTAAAAAAACTGCCATTACTGCGAGTGAAAAGTCGAAAAAGTTCAGTGTGTGAATGCCCTTATCCTCTTTTTGTATGGAATATTCTTCTTCAGATCGAAATAATAACATCGGATTGAACTAACAGTATAAATAGGAAAGGTTGTGGATTTGCGGTCATAAAACCTTAATCAGGGAAGAAAGTGGGTTAGAACAAGAATTCAATAAAGTAATTGTGTAGTGATAAAAATTCACGGTTTTTAATATGAAACTTGCAGCTGTGGTGTTATTTACTGTGTTTACTCATACTCAGGTAAGACGTTTTAGAATTAAGCAAAGGCTTTTGGAGACAGTGGCCTAAGTCGTAAAGTTGGCCTGTTACGAGAACTGATTAATACCAATTTGGAAAACAATTCTTCAGTAGAGGACTATGTAAACAGACTTTATATTTTACTAGCTTTCAGCCCGCGGCTTCGCCCGCGTGGAATTTTGTCTGTCACAGAAAAACTTTATCGCGCGCGTCCCTGTTTCAAAAACCGGGATAAAAACTATCCTATGTTCTTTCCCGGGACTCAAACTATCTCTATGCCAAATTTCATCAAAATCGGTTGCGAGGTTTAAGCGGGAAAGCGTAACAGACAGACAGACAGACAGACAGACAGAGTTACTTTCGCATTTATAATATTAGTTGGGATATTAGTTGGGATAGTAAAATATATGAGAACATTCTGTCAACGCGACAAGGACGAGAGTGCCCATAGACAATATTAGTAAGGAGTTTCTCTTATGCGTCCATAAATCCAACAGATCTAGTATCGTTCGTTTCAGCCAAATGACTTCCACTGCTGGACAAAGACCTCCAAGGATTTCGACAACGACCGGTCCTGCGCCGGCGCCGCCCGTATCCAGGCACATCCCGCGACCTTTACCAGGTCATCGGCCCACTTAGTGGGGGTCTGACCACACTACGTCTTCCGATCTGTAGTCGCTACTCGAGAATTGATTTATTACGTGCCAAGTGTTATATTATAGGGAATGCATCACATTTGGTTATGCATTACTTCCAAAACACCTTGACAGGTTTCAGATCAGATTGTTTTGTATTTTGAATTCTCTTTCAAAGAAATGAATTATTTTATAGTGCCTGAGTGATGAACAGAAGGAGCTCTTGAAAAAATGGCACATGGAGTGTTTTGAAGAAACGAAAGTGAGCCCTGACCTGGTGTTGAAGCTGAAGACTGGGGATTGGCGAGTAAGTTGAACACAAGTTTAATAAAATCCTCTTTCATTAACAAAACAAATGACGGCTTAAAATATTGATAAACCGTTCACCAGAGAGAATCAATGAATTTTACAATCTAAAAAGCGATGGCAGTGCAACTAGGACAATGCAAAGACGTCTAACATGGCTAAATTAAACCCCTCAATATGAATTTTGGTTGATTTAAGTTCAAGTCCTATGTTGACTGGAGCCATCATGAGTGTGTTTCTCCTGAAAATCTGACCTAGAACCTTCGAGCCAACAGTTTCACCTCCTTAGCACTGGACCATAGAGAAATTAGAGATGGAAGACAATTTGGTTTGTTTAAGCGGCGAAAATTTTCAAGAATAAGGTTCATCCTTGGTACAAGTTATAATTCAGTACCATAGAGATCTAGCTAGAGAGATGAGGGGTATCAGTACCTACTCAACGTGCGAATAATCTTTAGTATACGCAAGCAATGTAAACTGTTTATACTTAAAACGTCAACTGCTTGGCACATTGCTGTCGCGAGCAATGTGTTCTGTTTTGGGCATATTGCTGCGACACTGGCTACGCCCCCTTTTCACATGTCTCTTAATTTTTTGTGATCTGTGTTCAGTGCTATACGTTACACTGCACGATGTCCACTAAAAACCTTTTCCAAATAGGCCATCAATTTCTGCAATTTCTGCTCAGAGAAAAATTTAAATCTTATTAATTTCCAGCTTGATAACAAACTTCTGAAAAAATGGACGCTGTGTATCTTGAGGAAATATGACCTGATGAGCGATGAAGGGGTGTTCCGTCTCGATAACGCTCTTGCCATGGTGCCTGATAGAGGTTTGTGAATATAAACGTCTTTGATGGGTTTATGGAAGGGCAGTTAGGGCAGGCTTAACTGGTGTCGTTTTTGAACCATGTTCATGGGGTTTCATTAAACATTTTGAAGAGCTCTCAGATTTTGAAATGAAGAAAATAATTTAAAAGTTCGGAATTAGGTATTATTTTAAAAAACGTATCAAATCTCGTACTGTACTACGTAATAATTTATCTATAGCATTGGTTTACTTGCCCTTACTGCCCTCCATAAATCTGTCCTAAAAGTATTGAATTTTGTGACTAAAATCTCAACATTATACAAGATCTTCGCTTTCTATTTTGCTTTCGTAAACTTCAGCTAGTTTCTTTATCTATTAATTCTAGATTTGCTTCAAAACAAAACAGACTATGTTAGTAAACTGCTATTAAGCTTCAACCACACCAACGCGTGCAAATCGCCAGCGCCGGCGCGATCAAATGCCTATGACAGGTTGCGCGACCCATGACAGTTCACGCGACCTGTCATTTTCCTATGATCGCGCCAGCGATGGCGATCTGCACGCATCGGTGTGGTTGAAGCTTAAGGCTTCAGCCTCGAATTTAGCGGGCAGCGGGGCGGCGGCGGTAGCGGCGCGGGAGCGGCAGGATCTTATGCGTAAAATCAAATAGACCGGTTCTCGAAAACAGCGGCGTGGGAGCGGGCAACGAGCGGGCAGCACACTCCTTCTTTTGCCCACAATAAATCGAGCGTTAGGAATAAATTTGAATCTAAATAAAATTGTCGCCGTTGTTCAGACATTTCGTTTGCGAATAAAAACAAATATCTCGACAACACAACCCCGAACACCACACTTCGCCGCTAAAGCGCCGCGCGAGCTGCCCGCTTGTTTCGGCCCCGCTCCCGCGCCGCCGCCGCTCCCGCGCCGCTGCCCGCTAAATTCGAGGCTGAGGCCTTACTGTCACTAGAGTACTCTCTTCCTCACTAAACACAATCATAGATAACTTGTGCCAAAAAGCTGTGAATGGCTACTTACAATTTTACTTTTCTTCATTTTCCTGCAAATTAGCACAAGCACTTCAATTTCAGTTACTAAACCTCTAACGCACGTGAGGGCCAAGAGAAATAAGAATAAAAACAAGAAGGGCAAGAAGGGCAAGAAGGGCGACGACGACGATAAGGACAAAGATGAAACGATTTGGATTGTGTTGTTCATAGCTTCATTTTTCGTTTTGATTTAATATTTTAAGGCCCGATTCGACCAAACTTGTATCCGAGAATAAGTCATGTGGGTCTAGACAAAGTGCAAATTATAATCGCAAACCAGTCGAAAAGTGGTCGAAAAACCCTTTTTTTGTATGGAGTTTTGACGGATTCGATTTCCGATTCGATCAAAAAGTGCGTTTTGTCTAGGGGGGCTGGTATAACTGGCACATTGACAGTTTCAGTATGGGAAATAATTATGTCAAAATGACAAGTTTATTCTTAGATTAAAATTACTCTTGTTTGGTCGAATCCACTCTAAAATGGATAGTAAGCTCGAAAAAAAAAAAGCACTACAAACTAGAGCACTGGATAGTTTTCCCATACATTCCAACAGTTGACAAAGTCGAACACTATTGATATTCTTATATTAATAACACCAAAATGTCTTCATTCTTCATACAAGTACTTCGTATAAAGTGAAGCCAAAATCATGGTGATATCCAATGTCATTTTACGTACGTTTTCACTTTAAACCACAGGCATATTTTGAAGTTTTTTTTTATCCACAACGAGGAAGCACTTGGCCTGTATCTCACCTGATGGTAAGTGATGATCAGGCCGAAGGTGGAAGCGAGTTTTACTCGGAATCCTCAACCACGGAGGAACTCTCTTTTCTTGCGCTTACTATCCATGGAACGCTTGCTATGGATATGCATCTAGGCTTGAAAACGTGTGTAAAATGACATAATAATTTTTGCCACATTTTAGATGAAGAGTTTGTATGAAAACTATCCATCTAGCTGTTATCAATCTAAGTTTAATACCTCTTAGGTCAAGTTTTAAATTAAGCATGTAGATTACTTAAAAGCCTATCCACTTCAAGCACTTCTCTTTCAGCATCTGAATCTCCAAATGTGGGTATCAAGAGAGGAATTGTAGATGACGAAGAACTGAAGAATTATGAAGAAAACGATGAACTTGGCATGGCAATTTTTTTACTGTCTTTTGCCATTTTTTTATAACTCCATACTCACAAGCTTTCATAATATTAGAATAATTAGAGATATAATTGTTACTGTGTTTGAAAATGGTTTTCTTTACGACGTTTGATAAATCTTTGAATATTATTCACTTATCTACTTTAGTGCCATTGTGAAGTTTGTTTTACACTTTAAAACTAATCAACTTTTTAACTTTTTACTACATTGTAATCATCTTTTTTTAATCGTAACCTTTACTATTATAATAATTTTTAGTATCTCTCTATTAATTATATTTTGTTTGTCTTTTTACTTGTTTCTGTAAACTAATTTTACTTATAAATTTAAATAATAGCTATATTAAGTAAATTATTTATGTATTAATACAATATTTTCACACTTGTACTCATACTTACCACAAAAAAAAACTGTAAAATTAAATAACTATTTTTCAAAAAGTGTATAAAGTTGAAAACTGTGATTTAAATAATAATAATAATTTACCGCTAAACTTATTTATTTTATTAGTTAAATTATTACTTTTTACAGACTGAGACTTGAACTTTTTTATTTTGTCTCGTCCCTTAAATTTCAGAGACAAATTCAAGCTTTGAAAATAAATACAAGAGAGAAATGATGAGTTTAAGTGAAAAAAGGAAGAAATGGCTAAAATTTTTGCTGTTGCGGTTGTTACTGCTATAAAATTACACAACATATTTTGTAACAAACGATGGCCAGTTTCGAATAGGTATTAAATAATTTATTGGATAGTTACTTTTATATAAAGTAAAATTAAATATTTATTAAAATTTTCTGCAGTGCGATTAAATTCGTCATCTTTAAAGATTTTAAATAGCTAAAATAAGACATAAAATGCTAAATCTTGGACACGAATGATATTACTGTTTAGTGTTTATCTTATTTGCAACAAATGCTATAGACAAAAATCTCAATGTTACAAATATAATTATCTAATTCCACTATTTCTTTGAATTAGACCAGTTGCTATAAATCTTTACATTTTTCATTTCAGACAAGGAAATGATCGAGGACTTCATAGACGAGTGCTTGCCGAAGAAAGCCAGCGCCCCCTATGAGATAGCTTGGGACTACACTAAGTGCTACCACACCATGGCCAAAAAACCCAAAAACAAGGACAAAAGATTGCATTACCTCAACATTTTTTACTAAGATAATAAATAAAATTATAAAAAAAAAATTGCTTAGTAATAAAAGTTGAATTTAATACTTTTATACCTAAAAAAATTATTAAAGTGGAATAAGCGCCATCTGTTGCGTTTGATCCGAACTGCTTCAAACTCGCTGTCATTAATAAGTTTTGTTGTGTTCTCGGTTGTTGTTGTGTAACTTATCGAGAAGTAGTACAAACGAAATGTGATAGATGGCGCAAATTCGTAATTTTATGATGTATAGCTGCATCATACAAATCAGTTTTGTTCTATTTATNGAGGAGAATTTAAGATTTGGTAAACAAAGCGCTTTTTGCTCTAACCTTTTGAATTAAAACAATGATCCTGACGTAATTATTAGAAAAACACACAATAATAGGCTCCTTGCACAGTGAACGACAAATCGTCAAGCATTATAATTCTAAAGAAAACTCAATGAAATAAGCAAAAACAAGTTTTTCTGCTTGATTTCAGCGTCCCTTAAAAGTGATTTTTGGTAGAGTCACAAAATATACAATAACATCAACAAAATATTAGTTACTAGCGGCCGCCCGTGACTTCGTACGCGTGGATCCCGTTTTACCCCCTTCATCTATCTTACGCGGTTTAGATTTTTTCATACAAATGTTTTTTCCCGCTAACTCCCGTTCCCGTTGGAATTTCGCAATATCCTGTTGTAACTAAGCTTTACGTTTACTAAGGGACCTGCATGCCAAATTTCAAGCGTCTAACTTAAGCGGTTTAGATTTTTCATACAAAAGGATTTTCCCGGTAATTCCTGTTCCTGTGGGAATTCTTAAGTATCCTATAACCTGCCCAGGAGTATGAAGAATAATTGTACCAAGTTTCGTTAAAATCCGTCGAGTAGTTTTTGTTTCTATAAGGAACATACAGACAGACAGACAGACAGACAGACAGACAGACAGACAGACAAACATTTTACTGATTGCATTTTTGGCATCAGTATCGATCTCTAATCACCCCCTGATAGTTATTTTGGAAATATATTTCGTACAGAATTGACCTCTCTACAGATTTATTATAAGTAATAGAATAAACAAATGAGTAGGGTGATAACGAGTTTAAAATACATTATAAACTACAAATACCTAAGATATTACTGGATATGAACTAATCAACTATTATCTTTTTCAAACAGTGTAAGAATTTGAGAGCAAAAAACTGCTATTACTGCGACTGAAAAATAAAAAAGTTCAGTGTGAGAATGCCCTTATCCACTTTTTGTATGGAATATTCTTCTTCAGATCAAAATAATAACATCGGATTGAACTAACAGTATAAATAGGAAAGGTTAAGGATTTGCGGTCATAAATCCTTAATCAGGGAAGAAAGTGGGTCCTTTACTAATAACGTAGTTGTGTGGAACGTGGGTTCTTTAACAAGAAATTAAAAACGTGATTGTGTGGTGATAAAAGGTCACAATCTGTAACATGAAGCTTGCAGCTGTGGTGTTATTTACTGTGTTTACTCATACTCAGGTAAGACGTTTTAGAATTTGATCTAGTATCGTTCGTTTCATCCAAATGACGTCTATTGCTGGACAAAGGCCTCCCCCAAGGATTTCGACAACGACCAGTCCCGTGATCTTTACCAGGTCATCGGTCCACTTAGTGGGGGGCCTGACCACACTACGTCTTCCGGTGGTGTGGTCGTTACTCGCGAATTGATTTAATACGTGCCAAGTGTTATATAGGAAATGCATCACATTTGATTATGCATTACTTCCAAAACACCTTGACAGGTTTCAGATCAGATTGTTTTGTATTTTGAATTCTCTTTCAAAGAAATGAATTATTTTATAGTGCCTGAGTGATGAACAGAAGGAGCTCTTGAAGAAATGGCACATGGAGTGTTTTGAAGAAACGAAAGTGAGCCCTGACCTGGTGTTGAAGCTGAAGACTGGGGATTGGCGAGTAAGTTGAGCACAAGTTTAATAAAACTCTCTTTAATTAACAAAACAAATGACGGCTTAAAATATTGATAAACCGTTCACTAGATAAAATCAATGAATTTTACAATCTAATTATAATAAAAATAAACTTTTTTAAAAACAAGCTTTTATTCTGAATTTCGAAAGTTTGTATCGCGCATGGAATTTATTCCTCTTTTTNATTATGTAATCTTTAAATAATTATACTATTAATACTTACAACTAATTTTTCAATAAAATTTATGAACTAATTAAAAACAGTTTTTTTTTTATTTTGTAACTACTTATAGTTAATTAAACCTTTAATTTAAAAATTCTAAATAATGCAAATTGGGTAACATTACAAAAATTTCACTCACAATGCTATCAGAAACCCACACACGTAGTTTTATCATGAAAAATGATTGCAAATAATGATAGATAGAGCGCGAATAGCGCATGGCATAGTAAAGAATTATTCACACTGAGCTAATGCCGGCTTAAGAAAAAAATAATGTAACCTTAAGGACCTATTTTTAAATACTAACCGGCAAATATCAATTGTATTTTAAAAATTAAATTGCCATTTAAAATGATTTTAACTACGTTATTTCACACAAGTGCCTCCAGATATTTATTTATCTCATTACAGACATAAAAGAATAAGCGAGACACCACCAATTCATTAAAGTTTTTTCAATTAATGATTTTCCCGAAATATTAGGCAATAGGTTTTGTCTCTACAATAATGTATATTACTGAAATTGTGATTAAATATAGAGCTACATAACGTTATCGTTACGTAGCTCTATATTTAATCACAAGTAGGTATGTATTTTACTCTGCTCTGTAAAATTAAAATATTTGAGAGAGACCATCGTCAGCATAAGTTTGAATCTAGTTTTGACAGTCAAGACTTTGTGAACATCCCTTAATCTAAGATGGAGACAACGTGTGTGTTGCCATAATTGCGTATAATTTCATTCAATTACCCATCTTACTTGTAGGAATTCTGAAAAACATAGACATTTAGACAATGCACCTAAAAAGCAGTTTCAATCAACTTTATGGCCGATTCTTGAACACCTCCTGTAATTATAGTGCCGATAAGCAAAAACTGTAGGTAACACTGTAAACCTAACAATAGAAATTAAGCTAATTGTAAATTGAACTTAACACTGAAGATGTTAAAGTGCATTTTGTTTATTGAGGAATGTCAAGACTTCCGAGAATTTGAGAAATTAAAGCGATTATAGTGATTCAAAGAAGACCGATTATAATATAAGCGTAATCGGTTTGTACGTTGTTTGCGAAGAAAGTGGATTTCTCAGGTTAAAAGGTAACGTTGAATAGATATTTCATAGTTAACGTATTCCTTCCTTCCTATACTCGGCGCAAAGACTTGTGATAGGCGGTGAAATAATAAAACAGTGCATATCATGTTTTCTCTCGCACTTACACTGGTTATGAGTGAGTTTATACAGAGGCAGGCATAGCGTTGCCTATATTACGTAATTTAATCTATACCTATGTACTTAATAATAAATCTGTAGAAGAAGTCAATTCTGTACATGAAATATATTTTCAAAATAACTATCAGGGGGTGATTAGTGATCGATACTGATGCCAAAAATGCAATCAGTAAAATTTTTGTCTGTCTGTCTGTCCGTCTGTATGTTCCTTATAGAAACAAAAACTACTCGACGGATTTTAACGAAACTTGGTTCAATTATTCTTCATACTCCTGGGCAGGTTATAGTATACTTAAGAATTCCCACGGGAACAGGAATTAGCGGGAAAATCCTTTTGTATGAAAAACCTAAACCACTTAAGTTAGACGCTTGAAATTTGGCATGCAGGTAACTTAGTAAACTTAAAGTTTAGTTACAACAGGATATTGCAAAATTCCCACGGGAACGGGAGTTAGCGGGAAAAACATTTGTATGAAAAAATCTAAACCGCGTAAGATAGATGAAGGTGGTAAAACGGGATCCACGCGTACGAAGTCGCGGGCGGCCGCTAGTAATCAATAAAATATTGGCGAGTGTGCCTACTGTGCATCTCTGTTTAAAAAAATACTCATGACCCGCCTGCCACGGGTCTTTGCGTCAAATATAGTTAGGCGTTTGTAGTTCAATAGCAGTAGAGTTTTTGTGACGATCACCAAAGTCAAACAACTGACGCCTTCGGCCCTTCGCCTTCGTGACCTGGATATTCCGACTACGATTTTGTGCCTCAGAACACCGTGCTTAGGAAAGCATCAATAAAGCGTAAACTGAGACACAATAAAGCACGGAATAATATAATAGGTAAGTAAGTCATAACCCTGTAATGGACTTATGACCAACCGTAGTGTTCAANGTTGTCTGATATGGTTCAATCGAACCGACGACTTTACCTGTCCTTCGAATCGGGTTTGTAATACTTATCTCTAAATGATGAGAATACGAATATGTAAAATGATAAAAAGTCTGGAAGATTTACCTTCGAAACTAACACAAAATTTCTGATTTGAGAGACTCCGAATCTCTAAAGAAGAATAATCTATATATAAAAATTAAACCCGTTTTCCGATGTCACGACATAACATGAAAACGGCTTGACCGATTTGGCTGTTTTTTTTTTGTAGTTTTCTAATACTCTGTAGTCTGTACCTCTATTACGAAAAACTTTCGAGTTCGTTTCGTTTGCGTATTCAAAGTGCCATATATTATAGCCGCCCTAGGGGACGCTGTTTAATTTTTCATACAAAATTTTTCGATGGCACTTTGAATACGCAAACGAAACGAACTCGAAAGTTTTTCGTAATAGAGGTACTGTACCTACAAGGTTTTTACGGAAAAAAATATAAAGAAAATCTCTACGCTAAGGCGGTACGAAGTTCGCCGGGTCAGCTAGTCATGAATAAAATGGAATAAACTCATGTAGATCTACCAAATTTTGCCATTTCATCATCATCATCATCTCAGCCATAGGACGTCCACTGCTGAACATAATGAAATGAAATGAAATTTCTTCTAAATCAACTCGAAATAAAAGTAAATGTATGTATCATCATCATCTACTATACC